GAGGTAGCCGAGTAAGAACAGCACCAGCACGCACGTGGTATTCAGGTAAGGGGTAGGTTTATTCAGTAGACCTGCTGGGACCAGGCAAGGTTGGCACTCCACGTGGTTTTGAAAGGCCTGGCAATGAGAGAGAGCTGGGAAAGAGAGGAAAGAGCTAGAAAAGAGCAGAGAGAGGGGTAAGAACAGTAGCACTCACGTGGTATTCAGGTAAGGGGTAGGTTTATTCAGTAGACCTGCTGGGACCAGGCAAGGTTGGCACTCCACGTGGCTGGGAAAGAGAGAGGAAAGAGCTAGAGCAGAGAGAGAGCAGACAGAGCTAGAAAAGAAGAGCAAGAGCGAGAGCTAGAAGAGCAAGAGAGCTAGAAGAGCAAGAGAGCGTCTGGGCCTGGGCTAGGCCTTATGTAGGGTATGGGCGGGGAAAGGTGTGGCCACATCAAATTCAGATGTGACCTCAGCGGATGCAGATGTGACCTCTTCCAGGTGTCCCAGTTGCCTAGGTAACGCAGGTAATACGTGGAGACTTTGCTGCGAGGAGGGTGGAGTCTGCTCGCCATCCAGGAGCGGACCTTACAGCTACCATGTGTGTTTCTGGCGTGGGTGCATCACAGACCAGGTCCTGTCCCAGGTCCGTGTGTTTCTGGCGTGGGTGCATCACAGACCAGGTCCTGTCCCAGGTCTGTGTGTGCCTGGCGTGGGTGCATCACAGACCAGGTCCTGTCCCAGGTCTGTGTGTGCCTGGCGTGGGTGCATCACAGACCAGGTCCTGCCCCAGGTCTGTGTGTTTCTGGCGTGGGTGCATCACAGACCAGGTCCTGTCCCAGGTCTGTGTGTGCCTGGCGTGGGTGTATCACAGACCAGGTCCTGCCCCAGGTCTGTGTGTTTCTGGCGTGGGTGCATCACAGACCAGGTCCTGCCCCAGGTCTGTGTGTGCCTGGCGTGGGTGCATCACAGACCAGGTCCTGTCCCAGGTCCATGTGTGTGCCTGGCGTGGGTGCATCACAGACCAGGTCCTGTCCCAGGTCCATGTGTGTGCCTGGCGTGGGTGCATCACAGACCAGGTCCTGTCCCAGGTCCGTGTGTTTCTGGCGTGGGTGCATCACAGACCAGGTCCTGTCCCAGGTCTGTGTGTGCCTGGCGTGGGTGCATCACAGACCAGGTCCTGCCCCAGGTCTGTGTGTTTCTGGCGTGGGTGCATCACAGACCAGGTCCTGTCCCAGGTCTGTGTGTGCCTGGCGTGGGTGTATCACAGACCAGGTCCTGCCCCAGGTCTGTGTGTTTCTGGCGTGGGTGCATCACAGACCAGGTCCTGCCCCAGGTCTGTGTGTGCCTGGCGTGGGTGCATCACAGACCAGGTCCTGTCCCAGGTCCATGTGTGTGCCTGGCGTGGGTGCATCACAGACCAGGTCCTGTCCCAGGTCCATGTGTGTGCCTGGCGTGGGTGCATCACAGACCAGGTCCTGTCCCAGGTCCGTGTGTTTCTGGCGTGGGTGCATCACAGACCAGGTCCTGTCCCAGGTCCCTGTGTGTGCCTGGCGTGGGTGCATCACAGACCAGGTCCTGTCCCAGGTCTGTGTGTGCCTGGCGTGGGTGCATCACAGACCAGGTCCTGCCCCAGGTCTGTGTGTGCCTGGCGTGGGTGCATCACAGACCAGGTCCTGTCCCAGGTCCCTGTGTGTGCCTGGCGTGGGTGCATCACAGACCAGGTCCTGTCCCAGGTCTGTGTGTGCCTGGTGTGGGTGCATCACAGACCAGGTCCTGTCCCAGGCCCCTTGCTGCTCCCCTACCACTTCCTGTCTCTGTGTTCTGGGAAATGGGTGGGCTCATACATACCCTGCAGCTTGTGGGGGTGGAGAGGGCAGGGTGCTCTGCCCCTGGCTGAGGTCAGGGGCTGGGCCAGAGGCATGTGAAGCTGCCCTTTTCCCTGGGGTGGACCACAGTAATCTGGGGACAAAAGGCCCCTTTTCTCTGCAAAAGCCTGACTGTGGAGGAGGGAGCATTCTCTGGGGCTCTGAGTGGGGGCGGGGTGCCCTGCCAAGAGCTGGAAGAAAGCCCTCATCTGCCCGCAGACAGACAGGTGAGGCAGGCCAGCTCAGAGCCTTCCAGGACGAGGCAAGACTGCAGTGCGGCTTCAGATGTTCCTTCCTCTGGAGCCTCAGGGTGCCCAGGGGGCAGAGAACTGTGGCCAACATCTCACTGTCTGGCCTGTCTCTCCTTATGCCTACATCTCCACCCCCATTCCCTATGTCTGAGAGGAGGCTTCCGGACCATTCTGTTTGTGCTTCCTCCGGTGTCTGCATCAAGTCCTGCCTGGCCCTGACCACGACGCCCCTGGCTGATGTCCACGTCCCCGGGGACCTTCTCTCTGCCCACGTCTGTGCTCTGGAGGTGTGCAAAGCCGTGCAGAGCAGGAGGACAAGCTGGTCTGAGGGCTACGAGCAGAGGTCTGGAGCAGGGCGGATGAGGGAAGAGCACCCAGGAAGTCAAGCAGCTGGAGTGACTGGGCAGAGCTCAAGATGGGCAGGTGTCTGAACTCTGCCAGGGCTGGGTGGAGGCCGGGTCTCTAGTGCCCTCTTCCTCCAATGGTGAGGCTGGAGGGAAGAAGGCTGAGGCGTGCCAAGAAGCCCCGCTCACTTTTTCCAGAGGGGAGTGAAACTTCCCTTCAGCACAGCAGGGCAGGCTGAGGTGTGACTGGGCCCAAGGGCTGTGAGCAGCCACCCCTAAGGGCGGATCCACCGAGGCCCAGCTCCCTGGCCCTGAGCTCAGCTAGGACAGGCAGTCTAGGTGGGTGTGCCTGCCGCAGCACCCCAGGGGGCGCTGCCTTGTGCATGCTCTCCAGTCAGGATGCCCTAGCAGCCTTTGCATGCTAGGGGCAGAGGGGCCTCCCCACTGCAGGGGGGCTGCTGTCAACATAGGGTGTCCACACCCACTGTCCCCTACCGGGCCCAGGCAGAAGCACCAAGCAGTTTCTAGTCCGTGCAGAGGCCTGAGGTCTGTGGAGCCCGTCCAGCACCCACTGCCAAGATTCCTGGCAGGGGGTGGGGAGCGGCAGCAGGCGGGCTGTTCTTGCCTGTTCCTTCCCGCTTCTGAAGCGCCGCAGCCTCGGCCGCGCTGCTTCCTTTTTTAGTCAAAGCAGCGCGCCGACAGTCCTAGAGGCCCCTTGGTGTCTCACCTGCCACAAAGGGAAGGAAAGCCTGGGGGCCGTCCGTCCTCCCGCTGAGGTCCTCCTGTGCAGGAAGGAAGGCAGCCTTGCCTCTCCTGTGCCCCAGCCCCAACTCCAGGTTATGCCACAGGAAGGCAGAGGGGAGCCCAGCCCTACTAAAGGACAGAAAAGTGGCCTTCGGGCCCAGATGCTCTGGGACACCCCTTACAGCCAACCCTCTCTGGTCCCAGCAATGCCAAGACCACAGTGCCAGCTCTAGCTCACCAGTGAGGCCCTCCAGTCCTTCCAGGGTCTGACCTGGGCCTGGCCCTGGTCAATTATTGCTCATCATAGTCACATTGTACAAACCCCAGGTAGAATGGAAACTGTGTGTCCTTCTCAGACTCCGGCTCCTCCCCATGGCAGGAACACTTTTCTCAGTTTCATCTTCATTAGGGTTCTTCCTTGTTTCATATATATCTGGTTAATTCGAGGTAAGTTTCCTGGCCTGGCTTTGAACCATGATCCACAGATCTCAGCATCCTGAGTAGCTAGAATTACAGGCGTGAGCCACAGTTGCTGGCTCTGGTTATTTATTTTACCAGTACAGTTACAGTTTTTGAGTGGTTAATTGGAAATAAGAGTCTCTGGTGTGGGACTTTTCTATTCAGGCTGGCTTGGAATGGTGACCCTCAGGTCTCAGCCTCCTTGGCTCACACCTGTCATCTTAGCTACCCAGGAGGTGGAGATCTGAGGATCACAGTTCAAAGCCAGCCCAGGCAGGAAAGTCCATGAAAGGCTTCTCTCCAATGAAGCACCAGAAGCCGGCAGTGGCACTGTGGCTCAGTGGTAGAGCGCTGGCCTTGAGCTGCAGAGCCGAGGGGCAGCGCCCAGGCCGAGTTCAGGCCCCAGGGCAACAACCAAGAGGTGTGACCACCAGGGCCGGGTTTGAAAGGATTTTTTTTGCCGGCCTGGGGCTTGAACTCGGGAACAACTTCCACTCGAGGCCAGCGCTGCACCACTGAGCCGCAGCGCCACTGCCGGCTCTCCTGAGTACGTGTGCTGAGGAATCGAACCCGGGCCGCCCCGGGCTAGGCGAGCCGCCTTCCCAGCCCCTAAAGCCAGCCTTTCCGGGCAGGCGTTCTGCGGCTGGGGCCGTGGCTGGGCGGCGCGGGGCGCGGGGCGCGAGGGTGCGAGGGTGCGGCGCGGGGCGCGGGGCGCGAGGGTGCTAGGGGGCGCGAGGGCGCGGGGCGCGAGGGTGCTAGGGGGCGGCGCAGGGAGCGGGGCGCGAGGGTGCTAAGGGGCGCGAGGGGGCGGGGCGCGAGGGTGCTAGGGGGCGCGAGGGGGCGGGGCGCGAGGGTGCTAGGGGGCGGGGCGCGGGGCGGGGCGCGGGGCGCGAGGGTGCTAGGGGGCGCGGGGCGGGGCGCGGGGCGCGAGGGTGCTAGGGGGCGCGAGGGTGCTAGGGGGCGCGAGGGGGCGGGGCGCGAGGGCGCGAGGGCGCGGCGCGGGGCGCGGGGCGCGAGGGTGCTAGGGGGCGCGAGGGGGCGGGGCGCGGGGCGCGGCGGGGCGCGAGGGTGCTAGGGGGCGGGGCGCGAGGGGGCGGGGCGCGGGGCGCTAGGGGGCGGGGCGCGAGGGTGCTAGGGGGCGCGAGGGGGCGGGGCGCGGGTGAGCGCGGGCCCCGCGGTGGGGGCGTGGCCTCCCGGTGGGCCTGGCCGGGTGGGCGTGGCCTCGGTTGGGCCTGGTCCCATGGCAGGGCTCGGGCCTGGCCGGGTGGGCGGGGGCGTGGCCTCCGGGTGGGGCGGGGCCTCCGGGCGGGCCTGGCCCCGCCCCGCCACCCGGAGCGAGCCAGCTCGGAGCGGAGCGAGCCTCGCCGCGCGATGCTGTCCTGGACGGCGCTCGGCCTGGCCCTGAGCCTGCGGCTGGCGCTGGCGCAGAGCGCCGCGGAGCGCGGTGAGTGCGGTGGGGCCCGGGCTCCGTGCCGGGCGGCCGCGGGCGCGCGCGGGTCAGGTCGTGGTTCTCACGCGGCCGCCGGGCGGAGCGGGGCCGGGCGGGGCGCAGGCCGCGCATCCCGGCCGCCGCGCCCCGCGCGCGCCTTGCCGGCCGGGAAGTCCGCCCTGCCTCAGTTTCCTGCCGTTGGAAGGGTCCTCCGAGGGGAGGCGGCGGGAGGAAGGGAAGGCCTCCGGCCCCGCCCCATCCCGCCGGTGGAGACCGAGGGCCGGTGCTGTCGGTGGGGTCAGGACCCGTCCGCCTGCGGCCCGCCCCGCCGCTCGTGGCTCACGGATGGCCTCTCCCGCCGGGCCTGGGCCTGGCCCGCACGCGGTCTGCGGGACGGGGAGCGGGCGCAGCCCGGGACGCCCCAGGCCCGGGCCCAGCTGGCCCTCCCAGGAGGCTGGGACCCGAGCATCACGGCTGGAGACCAGTCCAGGCAGGAAAGCCCACGGGACAGCTCCAGTGAACCCCCGGAAAAAGCCGGAAGTGGCGCTGTGACAAGTGGTGGAGCGCTAGCCTTGAGCGCAAATCTCAAGGACAGGGCCCAGCCTGCCCCCCACCCAGGAGCCAGTCCCCAGACCTCCCGGCAGGGCAAGAGAGGACCTCGGGAAAGCTCAGGCCTCGGGCTCTCCCCCGAGCCCCGCAGCTGGGTCTGAAGCCCTATCCTTTTCCCCAGGCCCCCCAGCCGCAGCCCCCCAGGGGGACCTGTTGTTCCTGTTGGACAGCTCAGCCAGTGTGTCACACTACGAGTTTTCCAGGGTCCGGGAGTTTGTGGGACAGCTGGTGGCGCCACTGCCCGTGGGCCCCGGGGCCCTGCGTGCCAGCCTGGTGCACGTGAGCAGTCGGCCGCACACCGAGTTCCCCTTCAACCAGCTCGGCTCGGGCCAGGCTGTCCAGGATGCCGTTCGAGCTGCGGCCCAGCGTATGGGCGACACCAACACAGGCCTGGCGCTGGCCTACGTCAAGGAGCAGCTGTTCGCCGAGGCCGCGGGTGCGCGGCCAGGGGTGCCCAAGGTCCTGGTGTGGGTGACAGATGGGGGCTCCAGCGATCCCGTGGGCCCCCCTATGCAAGAGCTCAAGGACTTAGGTGTCACAGTCTTCATTGTCAGCACTGGCAGAGGCAACTTGTTGGAGCTGTCGGCAGCAGCCTCCACCCCTGCGGAGAAACACCTGCGCTTTGTGGATGTGGACGACCTAAGCATCATCACCGCGGAGCTGCAGGCCTCCATCCTGGGTGAGCCAGTGGCCGGGTTCCGGGTTTTGAGGTGCCAGGTGTTGGGCCCGGCCACCTGAGGGCGCTGTGGGCAGGCAAGTGAATTAACTGCACCTAACGCCCTGTGTCCACCGACACGGGAGCTGTGGAGAGGCAGAGGCAGAGGCAGGCCTGAGTGGCCGCTCCGGGGGGCTGCCGTGTGTGTGGGTAAGGAGACCTGGGGTTCTTTGGACAGGATACGTTATGAGGGAAGGGGGGATGCAGGGGGGTCCCCCGCCTGGGGGCTCTGCCAGCAGTCGCATGGGCACCTGTGGGGCGTGTCCAGGGTCCGACTGGACACGCCCCTCAGGTGCCTTCCTCAGAGCTCAGGCCCTTCTCATCCAGGAGAGGATTCTGCTCTGGGACTGCTGGGGAGGAAGCCAGACCAGCCAAGTCCTCTGTCAGCTGCTCAGCAGCCCCATGCTGGTTTTATTTGTTTCCTCTCCAGCCAGGACCCAGAGGAGAAGAGTTAGAGAGGATCTGGTGGCTGGCCAGGCCCACACAGCAATGCCACCACCTCAGGCTCGGGTGGGAAGGGGCTAGTCCCTGGGCCAGACGGGGTGGAGGGGCCTCTCCACCTTCCCAGCCCTGTGGCCTTTAGACCAACACAGCTGAGCCAGGAAAGAACAAAAGCAGAGGCTGCGACCACAAGTCCCACTCACCGGAGTGTCACTCAGATGTCACAGGCTCAAGATGCACTTGGGAGCCTGTCTTCACCAGCATGCTGAGGGACACAGCTGGACTTCATGTCCAGCTGCTCCTGAGGCTCACTTCTCCACTGCCATCCTGACCCCCATGATCCCATCTCCTCACTGCCATCCTGACCCCCCCGTGACCCCATCTCCTCACTGCCATCCTGACCCCCCTGTGACCCCATCTCCTCACTGCCCCCTGACCCCCCCATGACCCCATCTCCTCACTGCCATCCTGACCCCCCTGTGACCCCATCTCCTCACTGCCCCCTGACCCCCCCGTGACCCCATCTCCTCACTGCCCCCCTGGCGCCCCCCCCCCCCCCCCCCCGTGACCCCATCTCCTCACTGCCCCTGACCCCCCCCCCCGTGACCCCATCTCCTCACTGCCCCTGACCCCCCCCCCATCGTGACCCCATCTCCTCACTGCCATCCTGACCCCCCCGTGATCCCATCTCCTCACTGCCATCCTGACCCCCCGTGACCCCATCTCCTCACTGCCCCCTGACCCCCCTGTGACCCCATCTCCTCACTGGCCCCTGACCCCCCCGTGACCCCATCTCCTCACTGCCCCTGACCCCCCCCCCGTGACCCCATCTCCTCACTGCCATCCTGACCCCCCCGTGACCCCATCTCCTCACTGCCATCCTGACCCCCCGTGACCCCATCTCCTCACTGCCATCCTGACCCCCCGTGACCCCATCTCCTCACTGCCATCCTGACCCCGTGACCCCATCTCCTCACTGCCCCCTGACCCCCCCGTGACCCCATCTCCTCATTGCCACCCTGCCCCCCTCCTGTGACCCCATCTCCTCACTGCCCCTGACCCCCCCCCCCCGTGACCCCATCTCCTCACTGCCCCCCTGCCCCTCCCCCGTGACCCCATCTCCTGGCTGCCGTCCTTCCCCCCCCCCCCCCGTGACCCCATCTCCTCACTGCCCCCCTGCCCCTCCCCCGTGACCCCATCTCCTGGCTGCCGTCCTCCCTCCCCCCCCCCGTGACCCCATCTCCTGGCTGCCGTCCTTCCCCCCCCCCCCGGTGACCCCATCTCCTGGCTGTACCCTTTGGCACTCTTGGCATCAGGGCAAAGAGCCCGGCTGACACCCAACCCTGTGCCTCGGGGTGCAGGGTGAGCCTCGGGTCTGAGACCCCAGGGCTGTGCGGCTGGCGTGGGTGGGGAGGCAGGGCCCGTCCCCCGGGTCTGGGTCTGGGCTGCAGCTGAAGGGGCTCTGAGGGGCCGCACGCCCTCGGCCTCCCAGCGGCTCCGAGCCGAGGTAGAGCCGCCGGCGCCCTGACCGCGTGCCCCGCACCGCGCAGGTGCAGTGCAGCCGCAGCGGCTCCACGCCGCCGAGGTCACCCCCCACGGCTTCCGCCTGGCCTGGCCGCCCCTGCTGACCACAGACTCCGGCTTCTACGTGCTGGAGCTGGCGCCCAGCGCGGAGCCCCAAGCCGCGCGCCGCCAGCGGGTGCCCGGGGACGCCACGGGCTGGAGCTGGTCCGGCCTGCGCCCGGACACGGACTACGACGTGGTGCTGCTGCCCGAGTCCAACTTGCGCCTGCTGGGGCCGCAGCACGTGCGCGTGCGCACTCTGCCAGGTGAGGGGCGGGGCGTGCGCACTCTGCCAGGTGAGGGGCGGGGCGTGCGCACGCTGCCAGGTGAGGGGCGGGGCGTGCGCACGCTGCCAGGTGAGGGGCGGGGCGTGCGCACTCTGCCAGGTGCGGCCCCTGGCCCCCGAGTCAGTGCCTTCCCCTCCCCCACAGATGAGGCCGGCCCCGAGCGCATCGTCATCTCGCACGCCAAGCCCCGCAGCCTCCGCGTCAGCTGGGCCCCGGCGCTGGGCCCCGGCACGGCGCTCGGGTACCGCGTGCAGTTCGGGCCGCTGCGGGGCGGCGCGGTGCAGCGCGTGGACGTGCCCGCGGGCCGCAACAGCACCATGCTGCAGGGCCTGGCGCCGGGCTGCGCCTACCTGGTGACCGTGACGGCCGCCTTCCGCTCCGGCCGCGAGCGGGCGCTGTCGGCCAAGGCCTGCACGCCCGCGGGCGAGCGCAGCCGCGCCCCGCGCGGAACCCCGGGGCTGAGCGCCCGCCCTGCAGGCCTGGCCGGCCGGCCCCCCGCCGCCGGGCCACCCAGGCCCCAACCGTGACCCCCGGCCTCGCCCAGCGCCCAGCCCCGCGTTTCCCTGGGGCAGCACCTTCCAGAGGTTACATCCGCTTCGGAAGCCTGCTGGACAGCAGACCCAGACCTGGGACGGCCCTGAGGGGACACTGGGCCCGTGGGCGGTGAGGGCCAACCGGGGGTGCAGGTACCCCCACCACTTAGGTCTGGTATAGAGCTAAGGAGGGTGGGGTAAGGCTTCCTGCCGGGAAAAAAAGGGCAGGGAGTGCTACTGAGAGTTGGACCACCCAAGGTGGTCTTCACCAGGACCTGTGCCAGCCTGGTGGGCAGTGCCTACTGGAAGCACCAGCCCTGCCTTCCTGCCCAGCCAGCCAGCAGCTCCTGGGACACACAGTGCCTCTTGTGGAAGGAATGGGACCAGAGCTCAGCGCCACTACCAGGATGGAGACTAGCACTCCAGTGGCATCTTTTGCTTCAGAATTGACAGGGAGAGACAGGATCCCCTGGGGGCTCACCCCAGTGACTCTGACCCCAAGGGCCATGCTGACAGGGCTCGGCCATAACCGTCCACCCCCCTAGGACTTCGGACAGGGACAGGAAGGACTGTCCAGGCAGAGCCTCTGATCCCAGAATGGCCTACCAAAACCCAAGCTCACCTTGCCTTTTTTCCCTACTAACAAGACAGATTCCAAACTTCAATAAACCAGATATAAAGCCAGCATGCAGTCTTGTGGGGTTTTTTTTTTTGTTGTTGTCCGTCGTGGGGCTTGAACTCGGCCTGGGCACTGTTCCTCAGCTCTTCAGCTCAAGGCAAGCACTTTACCACTTGAGCTACAATGCCACTTCCAGTTTTCTAGTGGTTTTTATTGGAGACAAGAGTCTCACAGACTTTCCTGCCAGGGCTGTAGCTAGGATTACAGGCGTGAGCCAACAGCACCCAGCTAACAGCATGCAGTCTTGATAGAATGCTTGCTTTCTTCTCAAAATACTCCAGCCAGTGCCAGTGCCTATAATCCCAGTTACTCAGGAAGCTGAGATTGGGGCTGGGAATGTGGCTCAGTGGTAGAGCGCTTGACTTGCATCCATGTGGCCCTGGGTTCGATTCCTCAGCACCACATAAGCATAAAGCTGGAAATGGGGCTGACACTCAGTGGTAGAGTGCTAGCCTTCAGCTGAAGAGCTGAGGTATAGCTCCCAAGCCCAGAGTTCAGGCCCCACAACCCACTAAAAAAAAAAAAAGGAAGCTGAGATCTGGAGATTAAGTTTCAAAGTCAGCTCAGGCAGACATGTTCAAAAGATTTATCTCCAGGGGGCTGGGAACGTAGCTCAGTGGTAGAGTGCATGCCTTGCAAGCATGAGGCCCTGGGTTCGATTCCTCAGCACCACATAAACAGAAAAAGCCGGAAGTGGCTCTGTGGCTCCAGTGGTAGAGCGCTAGCCTTGAACTGAAGAGCTGAGGGACAGTGCCCAGGCCCAGAGTTTAGGCCCCATGACCAGCAAAAAAAAAAAAAGATTTATCTCCAGTTAACCAACAACAACCTGGAACTGAACTGGGCATTGGTGGCTCATGCCTGTATTCCTAGCTACTCAGGAGGCTGAGATCTTAGGATCTCGGTTCAAAGCCAGCTGGGGCAAGAAAGTCCATGAGACTCTTACCTCCAACTAGCCACCAGAAAACAGGAAGTGGACCTGTGGCTTAAGTGGTAGAGTGCTAGCCTTGAGCTGAGGAGCTGAGGGACAGCGCCCAGGCCCTGAGTTCAAGCCCCATGACCTACTAATTAATAAATAAATACTGTCTCCAGCAAAATGCCAAACTGAAGGTATGGCTCAAGTGATAGAGTGCCAGCTGTGAGCAAATATGTAGAGCAAGAGAAGCCTTGATTCAAACCCTGGTACTGTCACACATACACACACACCCAATACTATGGATGGGACAGTGTGGCACCATGGTATGTTGGAGAGGAGAGGAGGTAGGCCTCTCATGCCTGGGCAGACCACCCCAACCTCCTGCAGTCCCTCTCTGAACCTTGTCTTTAGGAGGCCTGGGCTCCACCAGCTGCTCTAAGGCAGGCTTCTGCTGCCAGAACTCAAGAGAAGAGGGCTGGTTCTCAGGGTTGACCCTCACAGTTGCTTATCTCCCTCTGTGTGAACTACCACATCTTCTCCAGGTATAGGCTCTGGCTCCAGCTCATCTCCACTCCCCCCTCCCCCCAGGCCAGCAGGCAGGGCCTCTGTGGGGAAAGTGCTGGCCATGCTGACACCCCCAGCTGGTGGGCCTGCTGGCCAAGCTGGGCCAAGGCATGCTTTGGGGCAGAAACGGTGCGTGAACTGGCAAACTCACCTGAGCACAGACATCCTGGAAGAGGAGGCACCCACTGGTTACAGGTCAGTCCTGGGCCAGCACACCTCTGTCACCTCTCATGAACACTGGACCTGGAAGAGCTGCACTTTGGCCACAGGAACCTGAGCAGGGAGGCCTCCCACAGGAGGCTTGGGAAGGCTGGGGCCGACCAGACAGACAGCCTTCCTTTCTGCTGAGCTGGTCAGGGTTGGAGGCAGGTCTGCAGATGGGTTGTGGCAGTTACGAAGGAGATCAGAACCAGTAGGTTCTTTAGGGAGCTACATAAGAGGAATAGGATTGGGGCACCCGGTCAGCTGAGGGACCTCTCTTTCATGCCAGCATAGAAGACAAGGCTACAAATTGCTGGCGTGTGTGAGGGTGAGCAGCAGGAGCCTGCTGAGTACAGCAGGGGCTCAAGTTTCAGAGGGTCAGGCTTTTCTACAGCCATTGTCCATGAAGACTGTGGGCAGCAGTCATGACTGGCTCCTGGGAAGCCTGGGGCTGAGGGGGCCACTCATGGGCTCCAGTGGAAGGGCACGGTTCTGGTGCATCATGCCACTTACTCAGGCCTAGTCACTGGTGGAGGACCCAGAAATCACACTGGTTGGATTCTTGAAGCAAAGTGCTCTCCCCACTGTGTGGGGTTAGTTACATATCCTGTCTGGCCTCCAACCCCACCTGGAGGCCAGGCTGTCAATTTGCATCTTTAATCTCTGCAGCTTCTCCTTCAGGTCCTTAATGCTGGAAAGGAAGAGGCCCAGAAGCTTATAGCAAGATAGCAGAGAACTGCGGCGAACGCCTTCTCGGCCAGCGAGGAAGAACGACCACCACACCAGGAGTCTTCTCAGATCACACTTTATTGGAGAGCCTTTTAGTTGAAGGGAGAGCTTGAGCGCAAGAGAGCGAGCAAGGAAATGCAGCCGCTTATATAGGGTTTGGAACACGGGTCGCTTCAGGATTGGCTGTCTGCCTTTTGCCGTCACCAGGTGCCACAGGATTGGCTCAGGATTTACGATGGTGGCGCATGCGCAAAGCTAGGGACCCGCAGCCCCGCCAAGCACTTGCCTAATATGGAGTCGTTTACCTCTAAGCTGAAAGGAAGTGGGCGCCATCTTGTAATGGCGTTTGTCCCGGCTCCCTGCAGAGAACTTCACATTTGCCAATGGAAGAAAAATGTTTCAGGTGGAAAACAGTCATGACTCCCTTTCATTAGCTTAGTGTCTTTAAAAAGGACGTGTCTTCGGGCTGGGAAGGTGGCTCAGTGGTAGAGCACTTGCCTTGCATGCCTGAGGCCCTGGGTTCGATTCCTCAGCACCACATAAGCAAAAAGAAAAAAAGCCGGAAGTGGCGCTGTGGCTCAAGTGGTAGAGGGCTAGCCTTGAGCTGAAGAGCTAAGGGGACAGCGCCCAGGCCCAGAGTTCAGGCCCCACGACCGGACCCAAAAAACAAAACAAAAAGAACATGTCTTGATGGTGCAGGTGGCGCATACCTGTAATCCTAGCTACTCAGGAGGCTGAGATCTGAGGATCACGGTTATGGTGGTTTTAAGCCAGCCTGGGCAACAAAGCCCCTGTGAGATTCTTGGTTTTGTTTTGGTTTTGTTTTTTGGGTCCGGTCGTGGGGCCTGAACTCTGAGCTTGGGCGCTGCCCCTCAGCTCTTCAGCTCAAGGCTAGCGCTCTACCACTGGAGCCACAGCGCCACTTCCGGCTTTTTTTTTTTTTTTTTTTGCTTATGGGTGCTGAGGAATCGAACCCAGGGCCTCAAGCATGCAAGGCAAGCACTTTACCACTGAGCAACCTTCCCAACCCCCCTGTGAGATTCTTATCTCCAATTAACCACTCAAAAGCTGGAAGTGATGCTGTGACTCAAAGTGGTAGAGTGCTAGACATGAGCAAAAAGAACTCAGGCCTGAGTTGAAATCCCATGACCAACAAAAAAGAAAAAGGCATGTCTGGCTGGGCGCCAGTGGCTCAGGCCTGTATTCCTAGTTTCTCAAGAGGCTGAGATCTGAGGATTGCGGTTCAAAGCCAGCCTGGGCAGGAAATCCTTACTACCAAAAAAACTGGAAGTAGCATTGTGGCTCAAGTGATAGAGAGCTAGCTTTGAGCAAAGAAAGCTCAGAGACGGCACTTAGGCCCTGAGTTCAAACCCTAAGACTGGCACACACACAAAGGGGTTGGGGAGACATGTCTATTCTCAATGGTCTAGGATTTCAAGTACCCAACACAAGTGGATAAAGCCAATTGCAGCAGCTTGGCCTGTAATTCTAGCTGCTTGGGAGGCAGAGATCAGGGACCTCAGGGATAGGAATTGTTTGGGGTCTTTCTTTCTTCCTTTCTTTCTGTTTATTGGTATTACAAAAGTGATATATAGAGGGATTACAATTTCATGAGTCAGGTAATGGGATCACAGCTTGCTGCTTTTGTTCAGTTGTGGGGCTTGTATTCAGAGCCTGGGTGCTGAACTCTTGCTTTTCTAGCGCTCTACCCCTTTGAGCCACAGCTCCACTTTCAGCTTCCTGAGTACCTAGGATTACAGGCATGAGGCTGGCACCAGGCCACTGCCTCCTCCCCCCCCCCCCCCCCCCAATTTGCCCGTCTTGGGGCTTGAACTCAGGGCCTAGGCACTGTACCCTGAGCTTTTTTTTTTTTTTTTCTCAAGGCTAGCACTCTACCACTTGAGCCACAGGGTCCTTTGTGGCTTTTTCTGTTTATGTGGTACTGAGGGATCAAACCTAGGGCTTCATGTTGCAAGACAAGCACTGGACACTGGGCCACACCCCCAGCCCCTACTTTGTTCTTTTAATGTGGGAAGTATGTGAAGTCTCCCTCTACTTCCCCAGCTGGCCTGGAACTTGTGGGATCATCATTCTCAGGCCTGGGCCTGACAATTTTGTTTCCTTTTGTGTGTGTGGGCTTGAGCTCAGGGCCTGGATACTATCCCTTAGCTTTCCCAGCTACCACTTTAGTCACAGTGCCACTAATGGCTTTTTTGGTGGTTAATAGATAAGCGTTTCATGGACTGCTTGAGGCAGGTCCAGCCTGTTCCTACATCCCATAAGCAGAACATGGTTTTCCTTGGTGCCCAAGGTGGAGGGCCCAGAAGCCTGGAAAGCCTGGCACGATGCTCTAAGCAGCTCCACCAGCAAGGGCATGCTCGCCAGTCTTTGGTGGCCTGATGGGCTTTTCCATAATTCTGGGGGGTTTGTAGTGCAAGGTAATACACAACCGGGGGCCATAGCAGTTTGAGGTGGGGGTCGGTTCTGTAGACCGGCTCATCTGAGCAACGGACCGGCCTGGGTTCCAGCCCAGGCCGGCCGCAAGGAGGCCCTCAGCGCAGCTCAGGCCTGCAGGGGCCGCTCACCCGGCTCCCAGTGCTGGGTCCGGGGATCACAGAATTGTTCAGGGTCACGGTGAAGGTGCTTCATCAGTCCAGGTGAAGCCTGGGCCCCGGGCTCCACGTCCGGAGTTCCAAGCTAGCTTCCAGTCACGGCCACCGTGTACCAGAGACCCGGAGGGAGGCAGAGAAAGAAGGCAGGCCTCCACGCCTGCCGGCCTATCCCGGTGGAACAGGAGAGTCGGAGGGGCCGAACCGAGCGCAAACCGGCCCCGCGCGCAGGCGGGGCCCGGCCGCCGCGGCCTCGGCCCCTCCGCTCGAGTCACCGGACGCGGCCCCGATCCCGGCCGGACACGGGACGGCAGGCCCCGCGGCTCGAGGCGACGTCTCCTCGCGAGAGCCCCGCAGCTCGAGCAGCCCAGGTCAGAGGGCACGGACGCGGAGGGGGTGCCGAGGCTACTGCACAGGGGCGGCGGCGGCCTCTTCCCGGTGCCGTCCGGCTGCAGGCCGCGGCCTCGGCACCTTCCGCGGGTTGGCGCGCGAGGCTCAGCCCGCGCCCTCCGCCTCCCTCCCCGCACCCGGATGAGGTCTACTCGCGGTCCCGCCGCCGCCGCGGCTCTCTCCTCTTTCCGCCGCTTCCGTGCTGCGTCCGCGGGCCGCCGCCGCCGCCGGGGAGGGAGCTCCGAGGCGTCCGTAGTAACCAGGGAGGCACCCGGTCTCGCGCACGCCCCTTGCATCTATGTTGTCCCGTACCGGGCCCCATAGCCCGGCGTGCGGCCGGTCCTCGAGGGGGCGCGGCCCGCTGGGCCAATCCGAGGGCGGCGCGCGGCCCGGCTGCCCCGGCTTCCGTCGTCCGGGGGCGGGGCCGCGCCTGCGCAGAGTCCCAGCCTCCGGCGCGCGGCGCGTGGCTGCCGTGCGGACCCGCTCGTCGCGCGTGCGGACCGGGCCTGGCGCCTACGCGGCCATGTCCTGGATCTTCGGCATCAACAAGGGCCCCAAGGGCGAAGGCGCGGGGCCGCCGCTGCCCCTGCCGCCCGTGCCGCCCGGGGCCGACGGGGGAGGCGACCGAGGCGCGGGAGACCGGTCTGCGCCCAAGGACAAATGGAGCAACTTCGACCCGACGGGCCTGGAGCGCGCGGCCAAGGCGGCGCGGGAGCTGGAGCACTCCCGTGAGCGCGGCGGGGCCCTGGGCGGGGCGGGCCTGGGGGGCGGGCGGGATCCACGGGGGCCGCGGCGGGGCGGGGCGGGCGGGATCCACGGGGGCCGCGGCGGGGCGGGCCTGGGGGGCGGCAGGATCCACGGGGCCCGGGGCGGGGCGGGCCTGGGGGGCGGCAGGATCCACGGGGGCCGGGGCGGGGCGGGCCTGGGGGGCGGGCGGGATCCACGGGGCCCGGGGCGGGGCGGGCCTGGGGGGCGGCAGGATCCACGGGGCCCGGGGCGGGGCGGGCCTGGGGGCGGCAGGATCCACGGGGCCCGGGGCGGGGCGGGCCTGGGGGGCGGCGGGATCCACGGGGGCCGCGGCGGGGCGGGCCTGGGGGCGGCAGGATCCACGGGGCCCGGGGCGGGGCGGGCCTGGGGGGCGGCGGGATCCACGGGGGCCGCGGCGGGGCGGGCCTGGGGGCGGCAGGATCCACGGGGCCCGGGGCGGGGCGGGCCTGGGGGGCGGGCGGGATCCACGGGGCCCGGGGCGGGGCGGGCCTGGGGGGCGGGCGGGATCCACGGGGCCCGGGGCGGGGCGGGCCTGGGGGGGCGGCGGGATCCACGGGGGCCGCGGCGGGGCGGGGCGGGCCTGGGGGGCGGCAGGATCCACGGGGGCCGCGGCGGGGCGGGCCTGGGGGGGCGGCAGGATCCACGGGGGCCGGGGCGGGGCGGGCCTGGGGGGCGGCAGGATCCATGGGGGCCGCGGCGGGGCGGGCCTGGGGGGCGGGCAGGATCCACGGGGGCCGCGGCGGGGCGGGCCTGGGGGGCGGCAGGATCCACGGGGCCGCGGCGGGGCGGGGCGGGCCTGGGGGGCGGCAGGATCCACGGGGGCCGGGGCGGGGCGGGGCGGGCCTGGGGGGCGGCAGGATCCACGGGGGCCGCGGCGGGGCGGGACTGGGGGGGCGGCAGGATCCACGGGGGCCGCGGCGGGGCGGGCCTGGGGGGCGGGCGGGATCCACGGGGGCCGGGGCGGGGCGGGCCTGGGGGCGGCAGGATCCACGGGGCCCGGGGCGGGGCGGGCCTGGGGGGCGGGCAGAATCCATGGGGCCGAGGAGGGGGCGGTAGGGGTTGGGGTAGGGGGTGGGCCCGGGGGCGGGCTGTCTGGCAGTGGGCCTGAGGAAGGGGGCGGGCCTGGAGCCAGCCCTCCCCCCCCTTGAAGCCCAGTGATCTGTGGCTCTTGGTGGCCTCATTGTCGTGGTGACCTTCCCGCCTGGAAGTGTCCCTGTGACCTAAAAGACCGGGTCCTGACAGCCTTTTGTACCTTCTGCCTTGTCACTCCTGGATGGGTCATCTGGTGGCATTTTTGCTGTTGTTGGTTATGGTGGTCGTGGGACTTGAACTCTGGGTCTGGGCACTGTCCCTCAGCTCAAGACTAGTGTTCTCCCACTTTGAGCTACAGCACCACTTCCGGTTTTCTGGTGGTTAATTGGAGATGAGTCTCATGGACTGTCCTGCCCAGGCTGGCTTTGAACTGTGATCCTCAGATCTCAGCCCCCTCTCAGATCTCAGCCCCCTGAGTAGATAGGATTACAGGCTTGAGCCACCAGCGCCCAGCTTTCTGGTGTCATTTCGGATGATCCTCTGGGGCTGAAGCCAAGCTTTCTGTTGATGGGAGGGAGTTCACCTTGAGAGGTCTGTAAGGAATGAGGATGGGCAGTCAAGGCAGGTTGAAAAAGCAGCCCAAGTGTTTCCAGGTGGAGGTGAGGCTGTGGTTTCTGGAAAGCTTCTTTTCTTTTCTTTTTTTTTTTTTTTTGTGAAAATACCGTACTGAGGGGTAACAATTCCACAGGTAATGAGTACATTTCTTACCAAGCATTATTGTCTCCTCCTTTGTTTCCCCTTCCCATCCATTCCCATCTCCCCTCCTCCCCCACCAAGCCTCTTTTCTGAAAGCATACTTTCCCACCAGCACACACACGTCTCTGCAGCCTCACTCAAGTGTTCTAAGACCCTTTCTTCTGTACCCCACAGGGCATGCCAAGGAGGCACTGAGTTTGGCACAGATGCAGGAGCAGACACTGCAGCTGGAACAGCAGTCTAAGCTCAAGGTGAGCTGTGGGAAGGAGATGGTGCTGGGCCTGGCTGAGGGCCTCGTACTCCATTTCACAAAGATCGCAGGGTAGGCAGAGATGCGCCGGATATGGGGCTGAGTCTGTGCGACAGAGCCAGCGGGTAGGCTTCCATGAGGGGTGTCTCCTGTCTCCTGTTCAGTGACTCCTTCCCTTCTTTCTCTGTGTTCAGCATGACTCTTTTCCCTACCTTGGATGATGAGATTTATTTGGAAGGGATTTTTTGGGGGGGGGGTGTTAAGGCTAGTGTGCTACCACTTTGAGCCACAGCTCCACTCTGGTTTTCTGGTGGTTAATTGGTGATGAGTCTCATGGACTTTCCTGCCTGGGTTGGCAGATCTCAGGCTCCTGAGTAGCTAGGATTACAGGTGTGCACACCCAGTGCTTGTAAACATATATATGTTTTTAAAGTAGTTTAGTATTGTTACTATTAAGGTGTTGTACAGAGAAGCTATCGCTTCATATTACTTTCGCTTGTTTGTTAGTTCTAGGGCTTGAACTTAGGGCCTGGGCTTCTTTTGCTCAAGGCTAACACTCTACCACTGGATTCTTTCAGTCCTTAGCCTTGGTGTAGATCTGAGAGTCTTGGGTATGTGGGTGGTCAGTCCAGGGTACGTTGTCAGAACTGCCCCTACCTTGCTGGGCCTTTTGCACAGACCTGCTGGCCTGGTGTTGATGCTGCCAGCCTGCTACTTCATGGCTGTGAGAGGCTCTCGGGCCATCCTGGGCTGTGAGAGGCTCTCGGGACACCCTGGGCTGGGCTGGGTTGTGAAGGCTCTCGGGACACCCTGGGCTGGGCAGGGTGAGGCTATCGGGACACCCTGGGCTGGGGTGGGCTGTGAGAGGCTCTCGGGAGACCCTGGGCTGGGCTGGGCTGGGTGAGGCTCTCGGGACACCCTGGGCTGGGCTGGGTGAGGCTCTCGGGACACCCTGGGCTGTGTGTTCTGCAGGAGTACGAGGCGGCTGTGGAGCAGCTGAAGGGTGAGCAGATCCGAGTGCAGGCTGAGGAGAGGAGGAAGACGCTGAGTGAAGAGACACGGCAGCACCAGGCTGTGAGCGCCCGCGGGGCCTGTGCAGAGGGCTGGGAGGGTTGGGGGAGCTCCAGGCTGTGAGCGCCGGCGGGGCCTGTGCAGAGGGCTGGGAGGGTTGGGGGAGCTCTGGTTCTCTTTGTTATTGACAAATGGAGGATCTGCTGGTGTGCGTATTGTATTGCTCCCCGGAATGCCCTGCATAAACACCAAGCATACAGATTGCCCAGGTGCTGACCCATCCCACCATGCGGCTCATGTTGGGATGGGGAGGGGGTCATGAGGCCTCCACGCCTAGTAAAGCTGGGGCCAGACTGGCTTCTGCCTGTCCAGTGGCTGTTCCAGACAGGAATGCCTTTCTGCTCTTCTCCCTAGAGGGCCCAGTACCAGGACAAGCTGGCTCGACAGCGCTACGAGGACCAGCTGAAGCAGCAGGTGAGCAAGGCACACCTCTGAGCGGACTGTGCGGTCTTAAGCAGAGGTAACTTTGTGTGCACCAAGTCTAGGAGAACTGTGGATTGTATTCTGAACCTGGTTCTGGGAATTTTACTCCAACAAGCACTCTTGGGCATGTGCACACTGACTGGGCACACACACACAGGCATGCCCTGGCACACAGAGAGCCACCTCCATGTGCAATCACACAGACGCCTTCCTTTGTGGCCTAGACAGAAGTGGTTGATTCGTAGCTGTTATGAGGCTTGTTGCCAGGCAGGATATTTCCCAAGAGCTCCTGGCCACCAGAGAGGTGTGTGGTTGGCTGCAGACAGTGTGCCAGAACAGTCCAAAGCCTGGAGCCCTGCCTCCACAGCACAGGCTCCTCAGCCACAGGCTGTGCATGCCTGGAGTGGGCGTCACAACAGGCAGAGGACAGTGCTGTGTAGGGCAGCGGCTGAGCAGTGGCAGGCGGGGAGGTGTTGGCAGCTACGCTGGTGAAGCTGCCCTAGACCTGCTGCTGTCCCAGCAGGAGCTGCAGCTCTGAACCCATCGAGGGGCTCAGGCTGTGAGCCCTGTCAGCCTCGGAAACGTGGGGCACCCTTGGGGTGGAAGCTTTTCCTGACCAAGAGCAGTTTTGGGTTAGTTGTCTTTCTGATTTCAAAAGCTTTTCCATTTCTTGTGACTTCTCAGCAACTTCTCAATGAGGAGAATTTACGGAAGCAGGAGGAGTCTGTACAGAAGCAGGAGGCTATGCGTCGAGGTATGGTCCATGGGGTGCAGAGGAGGCTCGGGTGAGCATGGTTCTCCTCAGTTGAACAGGAGTCACTTTGGTTGAGCAAGGATCCACTAGGGTGGTCAGGAGTCCTCTTGGGTGATCAGGGATTCCCTCGGGTGAGCAGGGGTGGTTGCGTGGGGCAGTGGCTGTTGAGGACTGCATCCACAGCCTGTGCTCCGCCATCTTCCAGTCCATGTGCCAGCCCTGTGGCTTCTCTGAGCGCTCACTTGGTGATAGCACCGTCAGCTGTGCCAGCACACCGTGCCTTAAGAGGCTGTGCAGGGAGCTCTTGGGCTGGTTAACTGATGGGAAATGCGTGCTTCATTTCCTTCAGCAGGACATTAGTTCTGCCTTCCTGTGTGAGCTCCTGCACATGACATCGGGGAGCAGCACTCCTGATTCAGTGCATCTGCCTGGAGGAAGAGATGCAGCTGAGTAGATGACACTCGCAGGGCAGTGGTTCCACTTGATGTGCGGTCTTAGTGTCAGCAGACAGAGACACATTGTATTGCGTGGCTCTCTGGGTTTATTTTTCGTGGAAGTGTCAGTCCTGGGGCTTGAACTCATGTTTAGGTGCTGACCCTAAGCTTTTTTTTTTTTTTTTTGTCGTGGGGCTTGAACTCGGCCTGGGCGCTATCCCTCAGCTTTTTAGCTCAAGGTGAGCACTCTACCACTTGAGCGCTCCACTTCCAGTTTTTTAGTGGTTTATTGGAGATAAGAGTCTCAGGGACTTTTCTTGCCTGGGCTGGCTTTGAACGGTGATTCTCAGATCTCAGCCTCCTGAGTAGCTAGGATGACAGGCGTGAGCTGCAAGTGCCCAGCTGACCCTGAGCTTTTTTACTCAAGGCTAGCGCTCTATCGCACCACTTCAACCACAGCTCCACTTCTGGCTTGTGGCGCTTATTCGAGATAGGAGTGTCATAGACTTAACTGCCACCATATTTAGATCTCAGCCTCGCCAGTTGCTGGGATTACAGGTGTGAGCAGTTGGTGCCCAACCTGTATTTTCTTTTTTTTTCCTTTTTCTTTTTTCTTTTTTTTTTTGTCGGTCATGGGGCTTGAACTCTGGGCCTGAGTGCTGTCCCTCAGCTTTTCAGCTCAAGGCTAGCGCTCTACCACTTGAGTTGCAGCACCATTTCTGGTTTTCTGGTGGTTTATTGGAGGTAAGAGTTTCACGGACTCAGGCTGGGATGGTGGCTCAGTGGTAGAGCGCTTGCCTTGCATGCATGAGGCCCTGGGTTCGATTCCCCAGCACCACATAAGCAAAAAGAAAAAAGCTGGAAGTGATGCTGTGGCTCAAGTGGTAGAGGGCTAGCCTTGAGCTGAAGAGCTGAGGGACAGCGCCCAGGCCCAGAGTTCAAGCCCCACGACTGGACCCAAAAAAAAACAAAAAAAAGTTTCACGGGTGTGAGCCACCTGCTCCCGGCTTGTTTCTTTCTTTCTTTTTTTTTTTTTTAGTAGAGAAAAAAGGTTTAGGGGCTGGGAAGGTGGCTCAGTGGTAGAGCGCTAGCCTTGAGCTGAAGAGCTGAGGGACAGCGCCCAGGCCCAGAGTTCAGGCCCACAACCGGACCCAAAAAAAAAAAAAAGAGAAAAAAGGTTTACTTTGCTTTATGATCTGGCCCAAGGTCAAGGAGCAACATCTGGTGTTGGCCTTCTTGGCAGCAGACACCTGAGGAAATACAGGAAAAAAAGAACAAGGAACATAGCAAGACTTCTTTTAAAGCAAGTCTTCTCTCTCTCTCTCGCTCTCTCTCTCTCTCTCTTGGGCCTTGAACTTGGGGCCTGGGCTCTTCTTTTTTGTTGGTCATGGGCCTTGAACTCGGGGCCTGGGCTCTTCTTTTTTGCTGGTCATGGGCCTTGAACTCGGGGCCTGGGCGCTGTCCCTGCACTCTTCAGCTCAAGGCGAGCGCTCTGCTTCACTTCTGTTTTTTTCTGGTGGTTTATTGGAGATAAGAGTCTCATAGACTCTCCTGCCCCAGCTGGCTTTGAATCACGATCCTCAAATCTCAGTCTCTTGAGTAGCTAAGATTATAGGTGTGAGCCACCAGCCTCTAGTTTTCAGGTCTTGTCTTGAGATAATTCATTAATCCACTCGTTGCTCATTTATTAAAGGCAGAGCCCTAGAATCACTCTTCTCCTCCCTCTTCCCCTCCCCCCCTTTCCAGGGCCTGAACTCTGGGCCTGGGCGCTGTCCCTCAGCTCTTCAGCTCAAGGCAAGCACTCTACCACTTGAGCCACAGCACTACTTCTGGTTTTCTGGTGGTTTATTGGAGATAAGAGTCTCTTGGACTTTCCTGCCCAGGCTGGCTTTGAACCACGATCCTCAGATCTCAGTCTTAGAGTGGCTAGGATGACAGGAGTGAGCCACCAGCACCTGGGTGTAGTTTGTTTCTTAGAGCATGTTTTGCCTGGTGTGGGTGGCTCACACCTGTCATCCTAGCTACCCTGGAAGCTGACATCTGAGGACTGAGGATCAAAGCCAGCCTGAGAATGGAAGTCTAAGAGACTTATCTCTAATTAACCACCAAAAGCTGGAAGTACAGCTGTATGTAGCTCAAGTATTACAGGAGTGCCTTGAGTGAACAGGCTTGGGGATGGTGCCCTGGCCCTGAGTTAGCCCCCCAGGCCAGCACAGAAAGCAAAAAAATCAAAAAAGGGTAGTCTGTACCCCAGGCTCTGGTTTCGGGGATTCTCCCTCTGCGGGAAGGGTGGCCCCAGGTGCGTGTGCTGGCTTAGCCCCTGCATTGCCCCTGGTCCGTGTACGCATGTGCATTGGCGGTGTGGGCCGAGGCCAACACGGCCTGGCTGAGCACCATTGACCCAGTCTTCTCCTGGGCAGCCACTGTGGAGCGGGAGATGGAGCTTCGACATAAGAACGAGATGCTGAGGGTGGAGGCTGAAGCCCGCGCTCGGGCCCGGGCGGATAGGGAGAATGCAGACATTATCCGTGAGCAGATTCGCCTGAAGGCTGCGGAACACAGACAAACCATCCTGGAGTCCATCCGGTGAGGACGCTGCTGGAGCCCAGTGCCACTGTCTGACCCTGGGGTCAGGGTGGCCGGGAAGACACTCGCTCCAGATGGGGTCGGGTCCTTCTGCATGCCATCCTTGACCCTAAACCTCCTCCAGCCAAGGGCTGAGGACCCTTTGTCCCTCCAAACCACGTGGGCGTTTTCCCCCTGCAGGACAGCTGGCACCCTGTTTGGTGAAGGATTCCGAGCCTTTGTGACTGACTGGGACAAAGTGACAGCCACGGTGTGTACCACCACATGCCCACGGGGTGGGCGCTCGGCCAGCCTGTCTCCTGAGTGCTGTCCATGCCTGAGCTCCAGCAGCCCCCGAAGGGAATGCTGGGGTTAGCAGCCTGCCTTGAGGCTCATGCCTCTAAATCACCAGCCAGAAGAGAGGTTAAGAAAAGGCTGAGAGACAATGGCCAGAGCTTTCTTCCTGGCTTTTTGAGTGTACTCAGTTGACCCTACAGGGTAAGAGATGGTCCTTGCACAGAGCCAGGGAGAACGGAAGCCTCTTCAGCCACCATGGATGAGGCCCAGCTGTCTCCTGTCCCCACCGGGAGCTGGAGCCAGCTGCCTCATCCTTGCCACAGTGGGTGAGGGTCAGCAGTCCTTTGAGGCAAGTGCTCCGTGACACGGAAGTGGAGGTATGGCTTGCGTGGTGTCGAGTGCCAACCTCGAGTGGAGAAAGCTCAGTGAGAGCACAAGGAGCTGACTTCAGGCCCCACAACCTGCACCAAACAAAGGCCCATGCTGCCTGGCAGCGTTGCATTGCTCCTCGCGGCTGGGCTAGGATCCACAAGGCCCGGCACACAGAAGAGCTGTGTGCAGTGAGTGCCCACCCGTGGGTGTACAGCCAGTGCACAGACACCAACCCCGGGAGTGTCCTGGGGCTGCCTGGCCAAGAGGAAGATGACCTTCTTCCTTTTTATTTCCATGACAAGGGCTTGGGCTTCTTTTGCTGAAGGCTGGTGTTCTACCCCTTGGCCACAGCCCCACTTCTGACATCTTAGTAATAAATTAGAGATGACTGTCATATGCTCTCCTACATGGGCTGGCTTCAAACTGCGCTTCTCAGATGCCAGGATTACAGGGATGAGACTCTGAGGCTAGCTACCTTGCTCATTTAAAAATTTTAGTCAGTAGTACTGGTCCTGGGGCTTGAATTCAGGGTTGGGGGGGTGTCCCTTAGTGTTAGCCACCGGTGCTTCCTTTGAAAATTCAGCTTTTTAAAATAGTAAAGAAATCAGTGGAGGGCAGCAACCTCCTGCATATCCAGTCATCTACCTCACAACCCTGCTGCACGGCAGAAGAGAATTGTGCCGACAAAGGGCATTAGTGAAGCTGGGGGCTAGGGGCTCACGCCTGTCATCCTAGCAACGAGGAGGCTGAGGTCTGAGGATCACGGCTCGAAGCCAGCTGGGCAGGACAGTGAGACTTACCCCTCTTTTTTTCTTTTTTGGCGGTCAAGGCGCTTGAACTCTGGGCCTGGGCGCTGTCCCTCAGCTCTTCAGTGCAAGGCAAGCCCTCTACCGCTTGAGCTGGTTTTCTAGTGACTTATTGGAGAGAAGAATCTCTTGGACTTTCCTGCCCAGGCTGGCTTTGAACTGAGGTCCTCAGATCTCAGCCTCATGAGTAGCTAGAACAACAGGCGTGAGCCACTGGTGCCTGGCAAGACTCATCTCTAATTAACTAGTGGAAAAGCTGGAAGTAGGAGCCGTGGCTGAAGTAATAAAGCACTAAACTTGAGCACAAAATTTCAAGGAGAGTGCCCAGGCCCCGAGTTCAAGCCTCAGATCAGGGCATTAGTGACACAGGTAGGCTGAGGGGCAGGGACTTGATTGAAGTCCAGGTGGGGCCACCCCAGGACCCCAGCTGGCCCTCCGTTGCCGAGGAGCGGTGGTGGTGAATGGCAGCACAGGCTGCTGTCTGTCTGTCGTAGGTGGCTGGATTGACAATGCTGGCTGTTGGAGTTTATTCTGCCAAGAATGCCACTGCTGTTGCTGGCCGGTACGTCGAGGCTCGGCTGGGGAAGCCGTCGCTGGTGAGGGAGACCTCCCGCATCTCGGTGCTGGAGGCTCTGAGGCATCCTGTTCAGGTATGGCTGCAGTGAGGCCCTGCGCCCACGGCACACGGGTGGCATGCACACCGCTCCCCCAGACTCTGGGTCCACCCGCATGTTGGCTGGGGTTTTCTCCAGTGCTCCCCTCACATGGGTGTGGGTCTGCTGATAGAACTGGACTCCACTGGGGGCAGTGAGTGCTCAGCACTCACTCTGGAGGGCTGCTGTCCCGTAGGCTGTGGCCAGGCCTCCTCCTGTGGCCCGGTCCAGGATGTTGAGAAGAGAAAGGTCAATAAGGAACTCAGTAAGTCACTCACTGCGAATGGCGGCTCAGAGGCTCAGACTTCTTAAGTCTCGCTGCTCAGGAGCCTGAGATCTGAGCGTCACAGTTCAAAAACAACCTAAGCAGAAAATGCCTGAGACTCCAATTAATTGCTAAAAAGCTAGAAGTAGAGCCGTGGCTCAAGTGATAGAGCACTAGCCTTGAGCAAAAAAGCTCAGGGACAGCACTGAGGCCCTGAGTTCAAGTCTCAGAACCGGTACACTCACACATCTCCCCGCTCCCCACCTACACACAGGCTGGGAAGGTGGCATAGTGGTAGAATGCTTACCTAGCATGCATGAAGCCCTGGGTTCCATTCCTCAGCACCACATACACAGAAAAAGCTGGAAGTGGGGCTTTGCCTCAAGTGGTAGAGTGCTAGCGTGGAGCAAAAGAAGCCCAGGGACAGTGCCCAGACCCTGAGTTCAAGCCCCAGGACTGGCAAGAATAAAAAAAAAGGCAAAGCAAAAAAAGAGGCTGATATTCCTTTTTTTTTGCTGGTCGTGGGCCTGAACTCTGGGCCTGGGCGCTGTCCCTCAGCTCTTCAGCTCAAGGCAAGCGCTCTACCACTTGAGCCACAGTGCCACTTCTGGTGTTTTCTGCTTATGTGGTGCTAAGGAATTGAACCCAGGGCCTCTCATGCATGTGAGGCAAGCACAATACCACTGAACCACCTTCCCAGCTCAAGAGGCTGATATTCCAAAGTGGAAGAGCACCTGCCTAGCAAGCAACTCTGCGTGCTGCGTACTACTCCCCACCACACACACACACACACACACACACACACACAAGAATCAATGGCCAGGCGAGGTGAGGCAGCTTTGATCCCTGCTGCTGAAGGAAGCCTGGGTGACCCAGCCAGGCTGTCTCAGAAGGCGATCTCTAGTGTGGCGAGAACTAGCTCAGTGTAGCTCTGGCAGAGCACAGACCTCGCTCCACCTAGCGCTCAAAAAACAAACCACAAGCCGGGCACCCTCGGCTCTCGCCTGTCATCCAGGCTACTCGGGAAGCTGAAATCTGGGAATCACGGTTCAAAGCCAGCCTGGGCAGGAAAGTCCCTGAGACACTTATCTCCAATAAACTACCAGAAAACTGGAAGTGGCGCTGTGGCTCAAGTGGTAAAGCACTCGCCTTGCACTGAAGAGCTGAGGGACAGCGCCCAGGCCCAGAGTTCAAGCCCCACAACTGACAAAAAAAAAAAAAAAACCACCATCAGTTGCAGCTCTGTACCCTGCCAAGCCTGGCCATGCCCCCCGGTCCAGCCACCGTCTCCTCCCCACAGGTTGGCCGCCGTCTCCTCCTCCGGCCACAGGATGCTCTGGAGGGAGTCATTCTCAGCGTAAGTCAGCCCCGGTGCAGAGCGCTGCCCAGGGCCCTGGTTGGCCCGCAGAGCTGAGCAGCCTTGTCTGGGTGGTGCAGTCTTGATGTCTCTGGCTCCTGAACGACATTTGTTGTCCAAGCAGACCCTGCCTTTACTGCACTTGGGTTGGCCTGGAGTCCACAAGGCGTGGGTTCTAGTCCCGCACTGCGGGTCCCCCCAAAGCCATATGTGGGGATGGGAGGCAGGTTCCCCAAACTGCAGCCACCCCTCTGTCCTTGCCCCTCCTGCAGCCCAGCCTAGAGGCACGAGTGCGGGATATCGCCATAGCAACGAGGAACACCAAAAAGAACAAAAGCTTGTACAGGAACATCCTCATGCACGGCCCTCCCGGGACCGGGAAAACACTGTTTGCCAAGGTGGGGCGCTGGGCAGTGTAGGTTCTGTGCTGCTGTGGGCAAGGGGCCTCGGCTTGTCTTGGGGGGTGGGGGCTGTCCACACTGGAGGGAGGGGACATCTGCTCCGTCTCCCACTCCTTCCGTCCAGAAACTGGCGCTGCACTCAGGCATGGACTACGCCATCATGACAGGCGGGGATGTGGCCCCCATGGGGCGGGAGGGCGTGACGGCCATGCACAAGGTCTTCGACTGGGCCAGCACCAGCCGGCGAGGGTGAGTCCAGCCCCGTACACACGGGCTCCTTGGACAGGCCGTCCCTGCCGCCTCCCTGCTGTCCCATCCTCCGGCTTGTGTGGGAGGCCAGCCTCTGCCGGGCCTGGTCTCCCGTTTGAGGTTGCCATTGAGGGCAGCAGCAGCTGGGCACAGGCCTCCGGCAGGAGCAGCTGGTGCACGGGGTGGGGCTGTACTCGGGCCTTTGACTGTGATTGCCTCGATGGCACGCTGCCCATGGGGGAGCGCCGCGCCAGCCTCCCTGCCTCAGTTGCTCCCTCCCCTTAATCTTTGCTCTTTTACCTCAGATGCCCTCGTGACCCTGGCGCCCAGCACAGGAGTGGAGCTGTACTGGCCCCGAGTTTGAGGCCTCGAAGCTCTGAGTCACTGAGTTAGACCCCTGGCAGGCAGTTTCCCCAGGGGTGCTCTACGCAGCCTGCTTCCAGCGGCTGTGCCCTCAAGCGTCCCTCCTCTGGTCTCCCTCTTGTTCACAGCCTCCTGCTCTTCGTGGATGAAGCAGATGCGTTCCTCAGGAAGCGAGCCACTGTGAGTCCTCACAAAGCCCTCTGTCCCAGAAGCTAGGCGGCTGGGCTTCTTGTGCTACCAGTGCAGGGGATTATGGTTGGGCTGTTCCCTGCCAGTCTTAGTGCTTGAACTGGGGGCCTAGGTGCTGGCCTTGAGCTTTTGCTCAAGGCTTTGCCACTTGAGTCGTTGTATTTCAGGCTTTTTCTGATGGGTTAATTGGAGAAAAGAGTCTCATTGGGCTTTCCTGCCTGGCCTGGCCTCAATCAGTGATCCTCAGATCTCAGCCTTCTGAGAGGCATGAGCCTTACAGGCATGAGCCACCAGCACCTGGCTTTCTCTTTTTTTTTTTTTGGTTGGTCGTGGGGCTTGAAGTCTGGGCTTGGGCGCTATCCCTCAGCTCTTCAGCTCAAGGCTAGCACTCTACCACTTGAGCCACAGCACCATTTCCGATTTTCTAGTGGTTTATTGGAGATAAGAGTCTCACTGAGTTTCCTCCCTGGGCTGGCTTTGAACTGCTATCCTCAGATCTCAGCCTCCTGAGTAGCTAGGATGACAGGCGTGAGCCACCAATGCCTGGCTTGGCTTTCTCTTAATTTTATTTGAAAACAGAAGTGAAAGAAAGCTGCAGAGTATTTGACTTTGTTTGGGGTTTTGGTGCTGGGGACTGACCCAAAACTTGTGCATGCTAAGTACGTGCTTCACTCGAACTGCCTTGCTCTGCAGCACATCTGAATTGTCTGGACGGTGAGTTTGAGACTTACGTGAGCGTTCACGTTCCTGCTCCCTCACCGCCCTCCAGCCATCACCCACGGGTGGTCCTGACCCTGGCTGTCTCACAGCTCTGCTCGGCCGCCTGAGACTGACGCCAGACCTTTCTCTGTGCAGGAAAAGATAAGTGAGGACCTGAGGGCCACGCTCAACGCGTTCCTGCACAGGACGGGCCAGCACAGCAGCAAGTAAGCGCAGCTCCCACACGCACACGCTGGGGCCCTGGGGAGACAGCTGTCGAGAGGCAGGGCAGCCATCATACTGGGTCTTGGGCTTGAGGGCATTGGGGGGGAGGCCACAGTGGACGTGTGCCATGGTCTCCTACCTGAGCCAGGTTGTTAGTCCTGGTCTGTGCATCCTGCAAGCCTCCAGCCCTCCGGCCTTCGCATGGCCACCATGAAGTTGCATGTGCCCCATGCCTGGAGGGGTCCTCACGCCTGTGGGGACTGACGCTACCGGGCATCCTGGGCGCGTTTGTGTTTGCTAGGAGAGAATCAGGAGCAGCTGTGGGTTGGGCTTTGCATGGGGCCCTAGCCTCAGGGCCTCAGGGTGGCCTTCAGGCCTTGGAAAGAGGCCCCACGTTGAGAAGCTTTCCTGTCCCCCTGTGTCCCCAGCAGGATGAGTGTCTGTGGCCAGGCACTCTTCCCTAAAAACGCCCTAATCCTGTCCCAGCTGCGGGACACCGGGGCAGGCCTAAAGATATTGCAGCATTGATCACAGACCTTACCTTGGGTCTGGCAGGTGTGAGGGGTGGGGTTTTTGTGGACGAGGGAGGGCTGGTGCTAGCCTGCTGTGCGTGGAGCCTGCGTGCCACAAGACAAAATGCCAAGCTGGATTTTTTTTTTTTTTTTTTGTCAGTCATGGGGCTTGAACTCTGGGCGTGGGCGCTGTCCCTCAGCTCTTCAGTGCAAGGCGAGTGCTCTACCACTTGAGCTGCACTGCCACTTCCAGTTTTCTGGTGGTTTATTGGAGATAAGAGTCTCGTGGACTTTCTTGCCTGGGCTGGCTGTGAACTGTGATTCTCAGATCTCAGCCTCCTGAGTAGCTAGGATGACAGGAGTGAGCCACCAGTGCCTGGCTAAGCTGGATTCTTGTAGCACGTGTCTGAGGAGACCTCGCAAAGCCTGTGCTGCGTGGGCCTCAGCCTTCCTGTCTGGCTGCAGGTTCATGCTGGTTCTAGCTAGTAACCAGCCTGAGCAGTTTGACTGGGCCATCAACGACCGAATCGACGAGATGGTCTGCTTTGCCCTGCCGGGGCAGGAGGAGCGGGAGCGCCTGGTGAGAATGTATTTTGACAAGTATGTTCTTAAGCCGGCCACAGAAGGAAAGCAGTAAGTGCTCAGCCCCTCCCGCCCTGGCCTGTCCTGCCTGGCTGTCCAGCCCAGTTCTTGGCCTGGGTGCAGCCCTTTCCCTGGGTTTGGGCCACCCGAGTGGCTTCTCTGGGCTGTGGCGAGGCAGCTCCACTGTTGGAGCCCTCCTTCCCGTCCTGTTTCTCACCTGGGGACAGCAGGCAGCCTGTTCCCCAGCCTTTCCACTATGTGGCCTGCCCGGTTTGAGGGGACCCTGGAGCCCCAGGGGTTAGGGCAGCTGCCACTGCTGAGTTCATGCTGAGACCCTTGGGTTGGGAGGTGGACAGTGACCACTGCTCCCTGATGAAGGATCCCGGACTCCACCAGCTGATCTGAGGGGCTGCCGAACAGGTGTCAGCACCGGCTCTCCGGGGAGGCCTGTGTGTGGAAAGTGGGTGCTGGCCAGGTGCTGGCCAGCTGGTGCTGGCCAGGAAGCAGCCAGGCACTGGGGTGTCCAGGATAGTCCTGCATGCCTCTGCATGCCGCATGCCCTGCTTTCCCGTCTCAGAGACCCGGGCTCCTGGCTCCTGGTCTGCTGCACCCTTCTGCGTCCTGACCACAGTCCTCCTCCTGCCTCCCATGGCTGGCCCTGCAGCTCTGCCCCCTGCTGGCCTCTGTCTCCACTGCAGCCACCAGGCTGGCGGCTGGGTCCTGCGTGTGCTTTTCACAAATGGTCCTTGTGGCCATCTGTCAGGTGTGACGAACCCCAGTGCTTCCTCCCCCACTTGCCCCGGCCACCTCTTCCCCCCCAAGAGCCCATCTGCTCAGTTGCTGCCTGAAGATCTAACTGGCATTGGCTGCCGGGTCTGCATAGAGTAGATGTGGCGTGGCTCTGACTGCCTGGGCCCCGGGGCCTGCAGGAGAAAGGGGCTGTGCCCACCATGTGCCCAGCAGGTGAAGGAGAAAGGCTCTGGGATGCAGGCAGCGCTGGCCAGAACCCTCAGGCTCCCCGGCGGAGCCCTGCCCTCCCTTCCCCCGTGGAGCTGCAGCCACTCCAGGTGCTACTGGCAACTCTCTCCACAGGCGCCTGAGGCTGGCCCAGTTCGACTACGGGAAAAAGTGCTCACAGGTTGCCCAGCTGACAGAGGGCATGTCCGGCCGTGAGATCGCCCAGCTTGCAGTGGCGTGGCAGGTGAGTACCAGGTGTGAGTGAGGCCCTGGGGGCTTGTTTCCTGGGGGTTCTGTGGAAGGCCTTGGCCTAGGCTGGGGCTACAGTTTCCCTCTACCCACCTCACAGGAGGCAAGGATGCTGGGGGTTGCGAGTCCCTTCTGGTCCACATCTGGGAGGGAGGGGTGTGGGCTCACCTGCGCCGAGCGCCTTCCCACCTCAGACTGCTCTGGGAGATGTGTTGGGCTCGGTGTAAGCGGTGGTGTACGTGGGGTGCCAGTCCGGGTGGTCGGGTGGTGTTCGTGGGGCGCCAGTCCGGGTGGTCGGGTGGTGTACGCGGGGCGTCTGTCCCGGTGGTCTGGTGTACGCGGGGCGCCTGTCCCGGTGATCGGGTGGTATACGCGGGGCGCCTGTCCGGTGTTCGCGTGGGAGCACTCTGGGGTGCCGTGGCTCCTGGGGTGCCGTGGCTCCGGGGTGCCGTGGCTCCGGGGTGCCGTGGCTCCCGGGTGGGGCGGGCAGGGCGCAGGAGTGCGGACTTTGGTAAACTGGGCAGGCCGCCGCGGCCTCTGGTTGCTCCCGTTCGCCGGGCAGCGCGGCCCGGGCCTGGCCGCGTCGCTGGCGGTGCTTTGCGGTGAGCGGCGGGCGTCTCGGGTTTGGGCCGGCCGACGGCCTGGCCTGCGTCCGTGTCGGGCGGTGCGGGCAGCGGCTTGCCGTCCTGCGGCCCTGACCCCGGGGGCTGGGCCCCTCGTCCCTGAGAGTCCGGAGGACAGCCAGGCTCTGGAGCCTCTCCACGCGAGAAGCTTCTCCACGGGAGGAACGCGCCCGGCCAGGGGCGGCAGCTGGAGCCGCGCATGCGCGGGGGGGGGGGGGTTGTCTGCTGCGGCCGCGCTTGCGCTCCTGAGGGGCGTCCGCGCGTGCGCCCCAGGGCCTTGGGCTGCCCGCCGCCCTCGCCCCGCACCCACCCCCCCCCCCCCCCGTCCTCCGTCCCGCCCCGCGCCCGCCGCCCTCGCCCCGGCCCCGCGCCCGCCGCCCTCGCCCCGGCCCCGCGCCCGCCGCCCTCGCCCCGGCCCCGCGCCCGCCGCCCTCGCCCCGGCCCCGCGCCCGCCGCCCTCGCCCCGGCCCCGCGCCCGCCGCCCTCGCCCCGGCCCCGCGCCCGCCGCCCTCGCCCCGGCCGCCTCGCCTTCCAGGCGCCCGGGTGACGGTGACGGGCGCGCTCCCGTCCACGCTGGTCGAATCTGCCGAGGGCCAGCTGGACTGACCCCTACTGGCCCCTCCGTGTCCGCGCGGGCCGCCGGCTCCAGGCGGGGCCGGCCTGGCGCAGCACCTCTTCTTGTCTAATGCGAACTGGGACAGAAGCGCCAGGCGGCCTCCGCGCTCTGCCTTAGTCCCAGAGGAAAGTGGTCGTTTTTCACTCAGTGTTTGCTGTGTCCCGGTGATGTTCTGTTCCGAGTTTGTGCGGTGTTGAAAGCAGGTGGCCCTAGAGGCGCCCAGCACTCAGGAGGCAGAGGACCCGAGTTGGAGGTCTGGAGGTCGGCCTGGGCTTCAGTGAGGCCCTGGCGCTCTCCGCATCTCCCCCCAATCACACTGTGCTCATTGTTCTCTGTCTTGGCTGTGGAGATGGTGTGAGCTCTGTTCTCTCATTGTGCTGTGTGTCCCGTGGGGGAATCCCTCCGCTTCTCAGGATGTTGTGTCTCGCAAGGGAAGTCCCACTTGGTCGGTGTCACTGTGCTGCTGAAGTTGGTTTTGCTAGTCTGCAGCTTAGGGCTGTTTTTTGTTTTGTTTTGTTTTTTTGTTTTGGTCGGTTGTAGGGCTTGAACTCTGGGCCTGGGCGCTGTCCCTCAGCTCTTCAGCTCAAGGTTAGCACCCTACCACTTGAGCCACAGCACCACTTCTGGCTTTTTCTGCTTATATGGTGCTGAGGAATGGAACCCAGGGCCTCATGTATGCAAGGCAAGCACTCTACCACTAAGCCACCTTCCCAGCCCCCAGTGAAACTCTTATCTCCAATAATCCACCAGAAACATGGAAGTTCCCACAATGTGGGGCGCAGGCAGCCCGCCTGCCGTGGATTCCCAGAGCCCGGGCTTGCCCTCTTGCCCGCCCTCCCCACTGGGTCCCATCCGCTCCCCTCCCCTCGGTGGAGATGGGTCTGCTGTCCGGAGGGCGGCCGGCTCAGTCCGAGAAGGGGTGGGCGCCCACACCTCCTGCGCCCTCCACACGGGTCCCTCCACACTGCCCGCCCCTCCCCGCGCCTCCCAGCTGCTTCCCCTTTGCCCTTGGTCAAGGGACTGCTGGCCACCCAGGTGCTGCCCCAGGCGAGGGGAAGTGGGAAGGGCCCTGGCCTGGCCATGGGCCAGATGGGGGCGGGGCCTGGGAGAGGCCGGCCTGCCTGAGCGGTGGGTTGAGCTTAAGGGACGCGGCAGCTGCGAGGGGCGGGGCCTGGGGAGGGGAGGGGCGGCCATGAGGGGCTGGACGGTGGGTGATGGCCGCAGTGCCCAGCTCTGAGCTGGGAGAAGAGGCCAGACTCGGGTCCATGGAGGAGGGGTCTGGTCCGCAGTCCAGGGTCACCAATCAGCCCCTGGGGAGCAGCCTGTGGGGCCACGGGCCTCTGCTCGCTGCTCCGACTTTGAACTTGGGCCATTCCCGGCCCAGCTGCCCTGGGCCAGTATAGCTGTCTCCACGCCGGTGGCCAGTGGTGAGCAGAGGCCCCCTCAGCACTCTTCCCCTGGCAGGCCATGGCGTATGCCTCTGAGGACGGCGTCCTCACCGAAGCCATGATGGACGCCCGTGTCCAGGATGCCGTCCAGCAGCACCAGCAGAAGATGCAGTGGTTGAGGGTAGAGATGCCCAGGCCTGCGGCCAGTGAGCCCCGAGCGCCTCCGCTGCCCTGACGCCACAGCAGCAGGGCTGGACCTGACACCTCCCACCCTCCTCCAGCCTCTGCACACGGCCGCGGTGCCCTCGGAGTCGGCCTGCTGCGGGCCGCGGTATGGTGCGTCAACAGCTCTGCTCGTCTGACCTCTTTCAGCCTCCAGGACTCTTGGGATGTGTGTCTGTGACCAGGGCAGGACAGGGAGGTGGCAGAGTGCTGCCCCGAGGTCAGCTGCCCGCTGTGCTGGCAGAACGGGCTACAGGAACCAGACTGAGGACAGGGAAGACCGGGCCTGGCAGTGCAGCCGGGGCCCAGGCCCCACCCTGCCTGCACACACCGGTGCCAAGAATTCACTGACCCCCTCCTGGTGTGGTGGACCCGAGGGTCCCAACCACTGGCCATGGTGTCCAGTGCTCAGGAGCTGCTGCCCTTGCCTGGACTGCAGCAGGGCCTTCTTATCTAGTGTCTAATAAAGCTGACTGAGCCCTTGCCATTTCTGTCTCGTGGCTGAAGGGAGTCTGCAACCCTTTTGTTGGGGTGATGGAAGAGGCAGAGGCTGGAGCTTTCTGGAGAATTTACTGGCCAGGCAGAGTGGGCTTCACAGTGAGGCTGGGACTGCTGGGGCCACCAGCTCCTTCCTGCTGAGGGCCTGTCCCCCCACGGCCCCCCCACGGCCCCTCCGGTCCCACGCCCACACCCCATGCACATGCTCCCTTGTGCAGATGGGCACAGACCCTGCTGCCTCTCCCAGATGGACAACAGGTGCACAGGAAACAGTATTCTACCCGATGAGGCCTCAGGCTGGTGTGAAGCAGGCCAGGCCTGTTCCTACCGATGCCCCTCCACCCGCAGCCCCAGCCCCTCCTTAGCAGAGCCTGGCTCTGTGTTTTGCCCACTGTTGTGGTCAGGCTGCTGCCCCGGAGGCCTGGTGGCCGGCCCCACCCCAGCCCCCACCCAACACCCTTTATAAAAAGAGGAGACAGCACCTGCTGGACACGCCCACTGGCCATAACCCAGCTGGCCACAGCCCAGGACGCACTGGGCTTGAGGCCGCAGTCCCATCCAGCTGGGTGGGCGTCCACAAGGTCCCTTTTGCATCTGCACAGTGGCCCCGAGAGTCCCGTGCGCGGCTCACAGGTGCCGCGGGCTGGGGTGGCCGTTGTGGTAGAGCTTCTGCTTCACGTGCACCATGTTCCCGGCTGGCTCCTCGAAGGGCCTGTGTGGCCTCCGGCCCAGCTCCCGCAGACTGCACAGCCGTGGCAGCCAGGCCCACGAGCCATCTGCGGGGGACAGGGCGGTCAGGCGGCCGGGCCGCGCCGGGGTGGCCCTGCGGCGGGCCCCGCACTCACCGTGGTGCCGGCCGGCCCTCCAGGCGCGCGCGGCACGGTGCAGCACGCCGTCCGTCCACACCAGGAGCCAGCTGATGAGGAAGCCTAGCAGCAACCCCAGCATGAGGTCCATCTCCTGCTTGGTCACATTGCCCGTCACAAAGTAGTTCTCCGAAGCGCCCACCACCGACTGGTCCCCGTCGTACGGGATCACGTAGTGGACGTGGTGCCTGCGGGCGGCAGGGCGGGCTGGCACCTCTCCCGCCGACCCCGGCCCAGCGGTGTGTCTCCTACAGGGCACCCTGGGAAGGTCTGTGAAGCAGCCCCAGCTGCTGGCTTGGGAGAAAGCATCGGGCTGCCCAAGGCCCCGGCCACCCAGCAGCTGCCGGGGTGCGTGGAGGCCTTGGTCTGGAGCCGAGCACGGCCTGGGGAAATCCAGGGCTGGGGCCGTGGCCTCCTTCCACAGAGCCACCTGCTGGCCTTGGGGACCTGCAAGCCCGGTGGCCACCATGCCTGCCTCCCACCGTCTCCGCCTCTGCTTCACTGTGCGGGTACTCTGCCCAGCACCCATTCTCTCCCCATTCAGTGCCCACTCACTGCTCCTAGTATAGATGGCATCCTAGCTAGCCCAGCGCAGCAGGCCAGGCTCCGAGCCCCTCCTCGGGGTGCTAGCAGCCACAGTGACCCTGGCTGCACAACTCAGCCCCACACTGCACCTGGCCTTTGGCCCTGCTCCCAGGCTCGGCTGGGGAAGCCATCCAGCCCTGTGGTGCCAGGTGAATGGCCCTGCTAGGTCAGTTGGCTCCAGGACAGTAGTTTCTAGATTCTCCTGGAGGGGGGGGTGCATGTGTGCTGTATCCCCGTGGGCAGGCCTCTCCTACCCCCAGATCTGTTGGAGCACGAGCTGCCTGCGTCTCTGTGGGATATACTGACACCTCCAACAGGATGAAAATAGCTCCTTTCCCCAGGCCGCCTCTTCTTCCCTCTCCTCCTCCTCTCCCCAGGCCTCCCCCCCCCCCCCCAGTGCCGAGGTGGTACCTCCGTTGCCTGCAACAGACCCTCTCTCAAATGAAAGGCCACCCAGAGCCCGGCTGCCCCGCTGATGTGCGCAGATCCTGGGGGGGGGGAGGAGCCGTCTTCCTCCCTGGGGCTGGGGCCTCCAACTCACGCCTGTTGGTGAGTTGTGGCCATGACTGGCACAGCAGCTGTCAATTCCAGCCCCAAGAGAAGATGCGCTTCTAGTTTGGCAGGTCCGCCGCTGTGGGCACCGGCAGAGGTGGACCCCACCAGGCTTTGGCCCCATCTACATGGCGCCCCCCAGGGCTCCAAGGTGGTAGGACAGAAAAATAGAAAACCACGGATCAAGGAAAAAAGAAATGGCAGCAGTACTGCACAGCAACCACCCAAGAGGTCTCAGGCCTCTGCTGAGAGGCCTCCACTGCTCCTAAGTACCTGTGTGCTCCCTCCTCGGGTGCAGCGCCGCAGGTGAGAGCTCAGAGGCCTCAGAGTAAAGCAGAAGGCTGGGCCACATGTTGGAGATGTGTCCTGCCTGTGCCACATGTGCTACATGTGTCCACCTGAGGTAGAATGCATGTCATGTATACTCACGGGCCACATGCACAGGCCATGCGTGTATACTGTGAACATGGGTCCCATAATCCCCACACAGACGCATATTCATTCAGCTTTGCACACAGCCACCCTCTGTAGGATGCTGTCATGTGCACAAATGTGTGCACAGACACAGATGGTGCTCGCTGACGTGTGCGCTTCAGAGCGTTAAGTTACAGAGGTGCCCTCCATACACAGGTCTGCGAATAGGCATGTGCAAGGCAGACACACATATACACATCCTGCAGGCAAAGTGTATACATGGGTGGTGCCCGTTGTGCAATGTGTGTACATGATGTATACACAGATGCCCCGTGTGCAAACCCACAATCTATATAGTCAGTGCACCTGCACAGAGACATTCTGACGTTTCCCCAAGCACATGGGGCTGTATATTGTTTTATATACATGTACTTTGCATACACATATATGTTGTCAATATACAAGGGTACTTTGTACGATGAATTTACATATCCAGTATGTAGAGTTGTGTACAAAGCACATACATGTAGAGACACACACGCAGAAACGCTGTATCCACAGCAGGGTGTAGCGTTCCACGTTACTGTATACACAGGCCTGGTGCCCAGGTGCCTGGCACGCACGTGTCCACACATACCCTGGACGCTGCATGAGATGTCCCCACATGCCAGGCAAACACACTGGAAATGGCCAGCCTTCAGTGTGCTGTCACAGGCAGACCCACACAGTCACAGCGCAATGGCCCACATGTGTCAAGTGTGCACTACCCACGGCTATGGCTCCAAAGTCCACCCTGAGCTGGTTTCAGGCCCACTTCAGAAGCCGGCCTGGCCGTGGGGCTGGTCATGTGCTGCGCCAAGCCTTCTGTATGGCAGTCAGTCTGTGGGCCGCTGGCTGGAGCACGGGGTCTCTCATCCAGTAAACTCTCCTCCATGCCCAGCTCTGCCCCGCTAAGGCCTGTATTCTTCAGCACACTAGCTCACAACCACAGCCATTTAACACTCTTAGGAGACATGCAGCTGCCGCGACTCGTGTGCACGCGCGCACACGCTATGCCCCCATGTGTGCAGAGCCCTGGGGTGAGGAACACAGGTCTTGGGGTGCATGCCCCCGTTCTAGCCACGTGATCTTAGACAAATCTGCCTTTTAATGCCTCTGTCTGGTAGGGTAACCACATGAGTGTGTGTGGAATGAGTGCATGCGGATGTGCGCGTGCGCTGTGTACGCACATGTCTATGCACAGACGGTACACACATGCGTGGCTCATGAGAAGATGTTTATTTGTACATGGACATACGAGCATGCATGGCCAGGATGCCTCGCTAGCTACACGTGCACACGGGGAGGGTGGCCTAGGGGTGTGGCCAGGCTGGCCATGACCTTGAGCGCCCGCCCGCAGCCCACCCTGGCCTCCCTTTCTCCATCTGTAATGTGGGGGGGAGGGAGTTGTGGCAGGCGCACTAAAGACGCCCTTCTCACCTTGACCTCATGCCCTCGACCGCCCAGCTCGTGGGAAGTCCACCGACCCTCAGCTGGAGGGGAACCCGACTGGGCGAGCCTCCGCTGCTGGAGCCGGGCCTCCGCCGCGGCCGCCACCCAGGGCTCCCAGGCCCGGGGCGGGGAGGCCGCGGCCCGTTCAGCCTCCGGCCCGGCCGCCCCGGGTCCGGCGGCTCCCGCACGGCGCTGCGGCCCGCACCCCTGTGCTCGCGCGTCTGCGGGGCTGGGGCGCACTCACCGGCCGCAGTTGCAGTGGCAGACGCGGTCCTCGCCCCGCAGGTGCGGGAGGATGTAGTTGTGGAATCGGTCCAGCAGCGCGTTCATGTCCATCAAGCACGCGATGGCCTGGAAGAGCCCATGGCCGGTCAGCGCGGGCGGCCGCGGGCAGCGGGGCGCGGGCAGCGGGGCGCGGGCGGCGGAGACGGGGCTCGGGCGGCGGAGACGGGATGCGGGGCGCGGGCGGCGGGGCGGGGGGCGGGGGCGGGGAGCTTAGGGCGCAGGCCGCGCGGTTGGTAAACAAGGGCCGGTGGGGCCGGGGCGGTGGGGAGGAGAGGCCGGCGCGGTGGGGAGGAGAGGCCGGCGCGGTGGGGAGGAGAGGCCGGGGTGGTGGGGCGGAGAGGCCGGCGCGGTGGGGCCAGGCCGGGGCGGTGGGGAGGAGAGGCCGGGGCGGTGGGGAGGAGAGGCCGGGGCGGTGGGGAGGAGAGGCCGGGCCGGGGCGGTGGGGAGGAGAGGCCGGGGCGGTGGGGAGGAGAGGCCGGGCCGGGGCGGTGGGGAGGAGAGGCCGGGCCGGGGCGGTGGGGAGGAGAGGCCGGGCCGGGGCGGTGGGGAGGAGAGGCCGGGGCGGTGGGGAGGAGAGGCCGGGCCGGGGCGGTGGGGAGGAGAGGCCGGGGCGGTGGGGCCGGGCCGGGGCCTCCGCTCACCATCACGATCGACGCCCCCAGAATCATGAAGATCATGGTGTTCGCGCTCATGGGCATCGGGCGGGGCCGGGCCGGGCCTGAGCGCCGCCCCCCGGCCCCGGCGCCCCCCCGGCCCCGGCCCGATGCTGAGCCGCGGCCGCCTCCGCGGAGGTCAGCGCGCGCCGCCGTGGGCCCCGGGCGGGCGCGGGCGCGGGCGCGGGCGGCACCGGCGGGGGCACGGGGCCGCGGCGGGGTCTCGCGCCCGCCGCCCGGCTGCTGCGATCCGCTCCGCCCTCGGTGCTCCTGGGCCCTCCTCGGTGCTCCTCGGCCCTCCCTGCGCCGGGCTCCCGGCGGTCGGCGCGGCCCCGCCCTCCCTCCGTGCGTTCCGCGCCGTCCCCTCCCCCCTCCGGCCTCCTCCCCTCCACACCCCCCCTCCAGCCTCCTCCCCAGCCCCTGGGATGCGGCCCAGCCACGCTTGCCCGGCCCCAGAGTGAACACCTGTCCTCCTCTCCCCAGACGCGGCGGGACCCTCCTGCGAGCTCCGCCCCCTCCCCTGCCGGCTGCGGGATCCCGCCTGGACGGTCCCCACAGGCAGGGAGGACCCCGAGGCAGGGGTGCGGGACCGCCCCAGGCCCCATCCACAGAGGGCGCCAAGGTCAGCAGAGCCAGTGTCCATGTGGGTGTGGGCCGCAGGCCGAGGTAGGTGGGAGGCAGGAATGGGGAGCAGAGGGGTCAGGCAGGCCCAGGCCGTGACAGTGGTAACCAGCAGGCCCGGGCCTCTCTGAGTCCAGGGCTGTCAGCTCATCACCCTTCCGTGCCCTGGCCCAGACAAGTCTTCCTTCAGGATGTGGGGTCCCGGAAGGGACTGCTGCCCAGGCCCACGGCGTGGCCACCCTGACTGAGCAGCGCGGCAGGTGCACTCACGGGCGGGGGGCAGGGCACAGCAAGTGACCAGCAGCATGTATTTATTGGTAAGAAGACACACCCATGGCTGTATTTGTACAATCCAGAATTTGGGTCCAAACAGGCTGGTGGCAGACACATGCTGGGGGCTCATGTGCTAAACCGTAGTTTTCCTTTTTTGGGGAGGGGGGAGGGTAAAGAAAAGTAGGGCTGGAAAGAATGGTTTTTAACTGACATTTCTGTATGCCTCATTTTCATATGTACATTGCATGACGGACCACCCCTTCCACCTGCGCCAGCGAGGCGAGGAGGAGGAAGGGTACAGAGAAGGAGACACAGGAACCAGGGCTTCAGAGGGCTCTGCAGGAGGCAGCCAGGCAGCTCAGTAGAAGCAGACCGTGTGCAGGAAGGCTCGGCCACTCTTCTCCTCAAATTCCTGCAGCAGCTCATCGATCTCGTTTTCCATATCCTCCGTGTGCTGGATCTGAAAGAACACAGGGTCCTGAGACACTGAGTGTCCCCTACCCAATCCTGCCCCACGTGAGGCTTGCCCCTTGCACGCATAGAATTGGGGTGCAGGGCAAGGCCTCTAGGACATCCTCCTCAGGACGGAGGGCCCCAGGCCTGCCCTGGTGGCACCCGCTGTGGAAGGATGGGTCAGACACCCACTGACCACAGCAGAACCCTCCCTGGGAGCAGAGTCGGATGTGGAGGGGGCTCTGGATACGCAGGAGCTGGAGACAGGCACCAAAGACCTTGTCAACCAGTGCTGTCCATAGCTTGCATGTGTGAAGTGAGACACTTGCTCGATACTGACCAGCAAAGAAGCTGTGCTGTGGCCATCCTGGGCACTGGGCAGCGTATGTGGCGCCCTCTCAGCTGAAACCCTCAGATGCAACCAGGTTGCGCATGCCCTAGGAGCACCCACGCTGGAGTGAAGCAGGCTGGGTATTGGGTGGTCTCCAGCCCTCTGAGCCCATCCCTGGCTGGCGCTGCCTCTGAACAAGGAGGAGTCTGTGACACCTTGCATGCATTTCACATGGACGTGTCTCCAGCCTTTCTAATTTTATTTTGGTCGGTCATGGGGCTTGAACTCTGGGCCTGGGCACTGTCCCTCAGATCTTCAGCTCAAAGCGAGCGCTCTACCACTTGAGCCATAGCGCCACTTCAGGTTTTCTGGTGGTTTATTAGAGATAAGAGTCTCACGGACTTTCCTGCCTGGGCTGGCTTTGAACTGTTATCCTAAAATCTCAGCCTCCTGAATAGTTAGGATTACAGGCATGAACCACCAGCACCCAGCTTTTTTTTTTTTTCCCCCTTTTTGCCAGTCATGGGCTTGAACAGGGCCTGGACACTCTCTCTAAACTTGTTCCGCTAGAGGCTAGGACACTACCACTTGAGCCACAGTGCCATGTTTGGCTTTTTGTTTATAGGGTACTGAGGAATTGAACCCAGGACCTCATGCATGTTAGGCAAGCACTCTACCACTGAGCCACCTTCCCAGCCTATCTCTAGCCTTTCTCCTGTACAGCAGACAGCTCTAGTGCTGAAGCAGCCACAATGGGCCTTAACAAACGGGATGGAAGGTCTCATCCTGCGCGCGCCCCGGCCCCCCCCCCCCCCCGCCCCAATCTTCTCTACCAGCTTAGGCCTGCCTACCCAACACTCCCACTGGTCCTACACACTAAGTCATGACTTTCATGGTTTCTGTCCCTACACAGACAGCTGCTCTAAACACAGATCCCAAGGGCACAGGGCAGGGCAGGCACAGGACAGTTTCATAGCATACTGGCGTGGCAGTGTGGCCATGTCAGAGACCAGACTGGTCAGGGACCCTCGGGAAAGGTCAGATGCCCCGACAAATCCAGAGGGCAGGAGGGCAGAGTGGGGCCTTGGCACAGCAGGCTGGGTGCTGCCTGGAGGCCTTAGACTGGCCACTGCTTACGCTGCCGTGTCTCCCACAGGAGGCACCGGGAGATGTGGTGGACAAGCCATCTGTCTTGCACACCTGTCAGGCCAACCAAAGCACCAGGACAATTTCTGTTGAGGTTTTTGTGCTAGTGCTGGAGCTCTGCCATTAAACAACATGGATGTCTATTTTTGGCATCCTACTGGGTAACTTCTGTGTTTGCCTGGGCTGGTTTTGAACCTCAATCCTTAACTCACAGTCTCCTGAGCAGCTAGGCTTATGAGCTGCCCAGTGCCCAATTGTTAATCTGGCAGATTGGTGTCTGGATGAACGCAGGGCACTGCAAGCCACAGGCAGGGGTTCTACCACGTGAGTCACACCTCCAGCCCTACCAGCCTGGACTTTAAACTAAAACCATGAGGCAGATCCTCTAACACGCTGGTGGTGGCCTGAGCTGGCAAGAGCTGCAGCACAGGCCAGCCCAGCGCCCCTGCAGGGACTGCAGGCACCTGTACTCACACACTGGCAGAGCTCACAGATGAGAAAGGCCCCCAAGGTGGCCTCTTCGTGGTTGTCCTGGATGTCCACATTGACCACGTGAACTGGCTGGCAAGTCTCCTGTTCTCTGGAGTTCAGATCTGAATGGGACAAAGTAACACAAATGGGGGCGGGGGTGGAATCACACAGCAGGCGGTAGATGGAGCCCAGCCCTTTACCCTGCCCCATCTGCCCCACCAGGTGGCCGGCCCCTCCTCTGAGGAAGCCCCCATGAACACGAGATCTATCACACTCCAGTGCTTTAACATCAATAGCGTGTGTGTGTGTGTGTGTGTGTGTGTGTGTGTGTGTGAGTCCTGGGGCATGAACTCAGGGCCTGGGCACTGTCCTTGAGCTTCTTTTGTTCAAGACTAGCTCTCTACCACTTGAGCCATAGCCCCACTTCCAGCTTTTCTGGTAGTTAACTGGAGATGAGAGTCTCGAAGACTTCCTGCCCAGGCTGGCACTGAACCCTGATCCCCGGACCTCTGTCTCTAGAGCAGCCAGCTAGGATACAGGGTGAGCCACCAGTGCCCGCTCCACAGCACCTTCTACACAATGTCAGTATCCCTGTGAACAAGTCACTGGCAGGGTCAACAACAACAGTGACCAGCACGTCGGTGGTTCTCTCCTGGTATACTCAAGCAGAAAGGTTTGGAACATCTGCTATGCCCACTCCTTTGCTTGTTCTTCCTAGACCCCAAACCCACAGGTATCTGGGCAGGCCGGAGTGGGCTGAGGACTGCACCCCAGGACTCACAGCCCCACCTGCACCCCGCGCTGGAGACAGCCCTCCCGGCCGGCACCGTGCGCACAGCAGCCCAGCAGCGCGCAGGTGATGCGGCAGGCTGCTCTGTACGCTCACCTTCCACCACCTGGTCATAGACTCTCTCTTCACAAGTGAGTATCAGATCGAACAGGTCCTTGCAGTTCTGGAACCTCTCTGGCCTGGGCTTGATTCTCTTATTTCTGTCCAACATATGTAAAATGCCATTCTGCGTATAGCTGGACACTGGAGTCAAGGAGCTTTAGACAAACAGCTTCTGGTCACCATTGTAAACATGCCCACATCCCGCCGAGCCCAGGCCCTGGTGCTCCCCACTGGGCTTGGGGAGAATCACGGTGGCTTCTCTATGAGGCCTGGAGACAAACTCATGCTGGGCAAGACTGCACAGCCCCAGCCGCAGAGCAGCTCAGGCTGCTGTGACGCCTCACAGAGCAGACGCAGGGACCTGCCTGCTGCAGAGCACAACTGTTCTCTGACAGTGCCTTCTGTCCTACTACCTTCTTTCTCTGCGTTGTCTATGAGCACTGGTTGAAATTCCTTTACTACGTTTTTGAATGTGGAAGTCCTGGGGCTAGAACTTAGGGCCTAGGCATTTAAGCTTTGTGCTCAAGGCTAGTACTCTACCACTTAAACCACAGCTCCATTTCTGGCTTTTTTTAGTAGTTTATTAGAGGTAAGAGTCTCACAGACATTCTTGCTGGGACTGGCTTTGAACCATGATTCTCAAATCTCAGCTTCCTGAGTACAGTAATTATGATTACAGGCATGAGCCACAAACACCCAACTCTTTTGTGACTTTTTCCCTATTCTCTCTGCCTCATGCAAGCCAGCAGAGTGTCAACACCCTCTGAACTACAGCCCAAGAGCAAAGACATATAACCAGCTCAGTGGAAGCTAGAAAGATGCAAGAAGTCACAGGATTCCTGGAGGAAAACTACAGCAAGGTAAAAGCAAGGAGGCAAGGTCCACAGTGGCTGCTGTCAGTCACTGGGGAGCAGGGAAGGTACGCGAACCGGCTGAGCTCAGGAGAGGAGGCAAGTGGTGCTGGCATGTGTGGTGAGCCCAGCAGGCCGAGGGGCCATGAGAAACATGGCCTCCCAAGGGTCAAGACTGGGCCACCCCGACCACGGAAGTCTGCGAGCACGCACCTCTCCAGAGACAGAGACGCAGTCCCCAGCACGCGCGGCCCAAGAGCTCGCTCACTCTAGGCATCTGACAGTCAGCGGCCAGCCATGAGTCTGTTTTAGAAAAGAAGACTGCTTAGGAGATTTTTGATGCTGGGGAAGAGAACCCAGGGCCTCGTGTAATCTAGGCACACACTCCATTGATGAACTCCTGGATTTAGGAAGTGTTTTGTCAGTTAATTTAAATAAGCTCATATTATTTTTTAAAATATCGTTCCTACTATCTAGACAGTAGCGGCGGCTTTGGCACACACTCGTGGCCAGGCGCCTCTGGTTCCTGCTTCATTGGCTGGCCAGCCTCAGCCTCCTGACACGCCCCACCTCCTGCAGTTAGGCTGAGAGCAAAGATCCTGGGGAACGTGGGTTTCAGCAAGTCCTGGTGGGAGCAGCTGCAGGGCCCTGCTGGGGGTCCTGACACCCCCTCGGCCCAAGTAGGACACCCGACAAGCACAGCTGCACTCATTTCTCAACACAAAACAAAACGAAGATTCCACGTAACCTCCAACAGTGGGGTCAGGTGGTAGAGTGCCAGCTAGTGAAAGCAAGCCTCAGATACTGAGTTCAAATTCTAGTCTCAAACCAAAAAGAAAAGACCCTTGTGACCAAAGTGTGGAAGAGAAAAACTGTACCGAGCAGGCAATGAGGCTGTGCACCCAACCAGGCGGCCGGGCTGCCCAGGCTGGAAGGCCTGTGGAGGAGTGGAGGTCTCCGAGGAAAGTAACCCTAACCTGGTCTTTGACCAAAGGTCAAACTTGAATTTCCCTTTCACATCACACAGGAGCAAAGTGCAGGTGAGACTGCAAGAAGCAGGGGAGGTGAGAGACAGCCAGCACAGCCAAAGACTTTATTAAAGTGAAAGCGAGGCGCAGCCTGACAGATCTGTGTCGCCGAGGTCCTTGCAGGGAGCGCAGCAGCCTGAGAGCTGGAGGAAGGCAGAAGCTGAGGCTGCGGGCAGCATCTGCCCTAGAATGACATCGGAAGGAACAGGCGCTGGTCGCCAGTCGGGGAGGGCTGTGACAATGCCATGGTGCCTGTGGCTCCAAGGAGAGGCTGTGGAGTGAGTTGGTGAATACAGGCCTGAGGCCCGAGGCAGGTGGAAGCCAGGGTAGCGGGAGACCCCACCTTGCACTCGCTCTCAGAAGGGCCCGGGGCCCCCAAAGTGTGTCAGACCAGGTCACCCCAGACCTGGGAGATCTCTACCACAGGCATCCACCACAGCCCGGACAGAGCCACACCAGAATGATCTTAGCAGAGAACCACCGAGGAGCAAACAGGAGACATCGAGCATCCTGGAAGCTTTCCTCAAGAGAACATATTTCTAAGATCCCACAAGACTGACAGAGGCAGACAACAGAGGGAGGCCTCGGGTTAGCCTTGGGCAGATTCTCCAGGCAGCCACCAACACTGCTGTGCTCTCTTGACACTAAATGATATGGAAAAGACAAGTAGGAGAACTAGAACATAGCTACAATTGAGGATGTTACTTCAAAAGAACATGATGGCTCACGCCTATAATCCTAGCTACTTAGGTTGATCTTGGTTCAAAGCCAGCACAGGCAGGAAAGTCCATGAGACTCCTACATCCAAGAAACCAGTCAAAAACCAGAAGTGGTGTTGTGGCTGAAGTGGTAGACCGCTAGCCTTAAGCTGAAGAGCTCAGGGACAGCGGCCAGGCCAAGTTAAAGCTCCAGGACAGACACACACACACACACACACACACACACACACGGTCTAAAGGAAGCCAGTTAAAGCTCCAGGACACAGACACACAGACACACACACACACAGACACACACACACACACACACACACACACACGGTCTAAAGGAAGCCAGTTAAAGCTCCAGGACACACACACACACAGTCTAAAGGAAGCCAGTGGCACACACACACACACACACGGTCTAAAGGAAGCCAGTGGCTGCCACGTGCTTGCCAAGGTGGCACTGGAGGGCAGGGAAGGTGGCTCAGTGGTAGAGAGGTAGCCTGCCTGCATGAAGCCCCCGAGTTCAGTTCCTTATAATTCAATACCACATAAACAGAAAAAGCCTGAAGTGGCGCTGTGGCTCAAATGGTAGAGTGCTAGCTAGCCTTGAGCAAAAAGCATCCCAGGGACAGCACCCAGACCCTTAGTTCAAGCCCCAGGACTGGCAATAATAAAAAATAAAAGGTTCTGGAGCTAGCCTATGCCTGCCTTGGCCTGTCTGTGCTTCTTCTTTTTTTTTTTTTTTTTCAGTTGTGGGGCTGGAACTCAGTTCCTGGGTGCTGTTCTGGAGCTCTTTTGCTCCAGGCTAGGGCTCTACCACTTTGAGCCACAGTGTGAATTCTGGTTTTCTGGTGATTAATTAGCGGTAAGAATCTCAGTCTTCCCAGCCTGGGCTACCTTATAACCATGATCCTCAGATTGCAGCCTCCTGGGGAATTTAGGATTACAGGCATGAGCCATTGGCGCACAGCCTCAATGCCTCTTCTTTATTCTACCCAATTACCACCATCTTCCTAATTCTACAACACCTCATTCAAGATTTTCCATCTTCCTGGTTTACTTGCACATCCAAATACATTTCATGCAGGGGTACTGGGGTTTAAACTCAGGGCTCTGTGCTTGATAGTAGGTCATCTACCTGCCACGCACCAGTGGCTCATGCCTGAAATCCTAGCTACTCAGGTGGCTGAGATCTGAGGACCGGGGTTCAAAGCCAGCCCAGGCAGGAAAAGTCCGTGAGACTCTTATTTCCAATAAACCACTAGAAAACCAGAAGTGGTGCTATGGCTGAAGTGGTAGAGCACTGGGACAGCATCTAGGCCCAGAGTTCGAGCCCCACGACTGAAAAAAAAAACAAAGTTTTGAAAAAAAGCTTCCAATCTTTTATGGCCAGTGTCTACCTAAAGTATGCAGGGGGCTGGGCTCTGGTGGCTCACGCCTGTAATCCTAGCTACTCAGGAGGCTGAGATCTGAGGATCATGGTTCAAAGCCAGCCCGGGCAGGAGAGACCGTGAGACTCCTATCTCCAATAAACCACCAGAAAACCGGAAGTGGCGCTGTAGCTCAAGTGGTAGAGCGCTCGCCTTGAGCTGAAGAGCTGAGGGACAGTGCCCAGGCCCAGAGTTCAAGCCCCACGACTGACAAAAATAAATAAAGTATGCAGGGCAGGGTTTGCCTAGGCTGCCTGACATACCAGCTTTGCAGCCTGGTTCAACCCCACAGAACCTGCAGTTACTTGTTTGTTTTGTTGAATACTCTTTAAGTTACACACAACAGAGAATAAGCTGCAAGACAAAATTCTAAGCCAACTTTCTCCAAATGCCTGACTAACAGTAGCTACCCTCGGCCCTCAAGTTTCAGAAGTCCTGGGCCCAGTGGCAATGCCGCTGGTTACTAGGCTACAAGGACAGGCGGACAGGCTCCAGCAGGGAAGAGACAGTCAAATGGCTCCAAGGCAACTTACAGGGCAATTTAATGTTAAATGAAAACGTATTCAAAGGAAGACTGAAGAAAATGCTGGAACCCAGACCCTCACTTACTCACTACAGGACTACTCACTCATCTCCATCTCCATCTCCAAGAGCCAGGGACCACCTGGGACATGTCAAAGTCAAATGGGAAAGCAGCATGGGCTTCTAAGAAAACAAAACTATCTGGGCACTGGTGGCTCACGCCTATAATCTTAGTTACTCAGGAGGCTGAGATCTGAGGATCACAGTTCAAAGCCAGCCCAGGCAAGAAAGTCGGTGAGATTTTTTTTTTCCCGGTCATAGGGCTTGAACTCTGGGCCTGGGCGCTGACCCTGCACTCAAGTCGAGTGCTCTACTGCTTGAGCCACAGCACCACTTCCAGTCTTCTAGTGGTTTATTGGAGTCTCACGGACTTTCCTGCCTGGGCTGGCTTTGAACGACGATCCTCAGATCTCAACCTCCTGAGTAGCTAGGATGACAGGTGTGAGCCACCAGTGCCTGGCTTCTGTGAGATTCTTATTTCCAATAAACTATTGAGAAAAAAATATAAGTGGAGGTATGACTCAAGTGATCCCGAG